TTCATTGGATTCTTAAGTGTTTTAAGTTTGATAAAGAGCTATAAAGTAGCTTGAAAATGTTTGTTTGGTAAAAGTTTAGTGCTGAATATTTACATAAGGATGTTTATTTCTTGTTTTAGAATTTGTTATTTGAAGATTTGGTAAACTAACTTTATTTTTATTTGTTAATTTAAATGAGAGGATCTGCAACTGTTTTCATTTTCAAATATAAAATGCCCAACAAATTAAAAGTACTAAACAGCCATCTTTGTTGAATTCTGAAGCTTAACATCTTTAACATTTGTGTATCCTGTTGTACCGGTTTGATTAATTCGTAATTGTGTTGAAGGCTATTTAAAAGTTGAAAGTAAAAATGATGATTACAAGTTTGATAATTTTGAACGCATTAAGATAATGGAAATGCCTCACCTTGCTTTACAAGATACTAGCGTAAAGTTTGTTCTCCATTTCCTTGACAACTGGAATTCACTGTAAATCCATCTAATTATATGAATTAACATAGGAGGGAAAAATTGTTCTAATTAAGATTGAAAGGAAATGTCTAACAACAGAAATAGGAAATAACTTGTAACAAAAGTATTACTAAATTAAATTTAGCAATAGGAATTCTGTAGAAAGAAGTGAGTTTTTTTGCAAAACATTCTGTAATTTTCATGGATTATTTCTGATGTCATGCTGTGTCATGTCTGATGTCATGTTCATTCTTCTTGATAAAGATGAATAGACAAAATTTTACTTATGTGGCATATAATACAAACAGGACCAGAATAAATAGCATTTAACTGCTGCACTTGGTAAGTTTAAAATTATTAATTGATTTATGTCATATTTATTTTAATTGAATATAAATTTAGCAATTAAAATTAAGTAATTTCTGTAAAAAGGAAATAATATTTTAGCCACAAATTCATTTTTTTTTTACATATTAATTATTCAACTATATAAAGTCATTCTATTCATCTTACTCTTGCAAAAGCAATTATCCGATTGAAGAAGTATGATTCTAATGAAACTTGTCAAGCAAAATTAATTTTATAAATTAAAATTCATCTGCCGACAGATGCAACCAGAGTTAAAATGCTGTTTTTTCTGTCATTCAGAAATGCTATGATTTTACGTAAATTATTCAAAAATTGATTTTTATCGTCATCTTATTCTCTCTCTCTCACTTAATTGAATTTGTCATAAATATTCTATGACAAAAACATTACAGGAGCCTTTGCAAATATTTTATAAAATAATAAACAGTTAATAGTTTATTTTCAAGGATATATAAGAATTTTTTATTGCATTATATGTTATCATCTAAATAGTTTTTCCAGCCACATGTATTTGCTGTTTATTATCATTTTGCATGTCTTTATGTTATTAAATGTATTCCTTCATCATTTCCATATTTTGTCATTAATAAACATTTTAATTTAACACGAAACTATCCGCAGATTGATTCATCCTATTGCTTCGTTTCATCCCTCTCTCTCGCTTGATTGAATTTGTGTCTTTACAGTTGGAGAATAAAATGTACATCCTTTCTTCCTGCTCCCAAATGATCTTCAGAACATATTAAATGGGATAATATAATGGAATTTTCTGGATCAAATTAATTTTATCAATTTAAAATTTATTTCTGACAGGTATATCAAGATGTTATTCATTGGATAATTTGCCCATTTCTCCCGGAAGCTCCAGAGAAGAAAATTAAATTAACGCCCACAAAAAAATAAGCAAGATAATGCTTTAATTATGTGTAGATACAAGTTAATTATTATAAATCAGTATTAGAATTTAATTAAATAGTTCCAGAGTGAACACACTAAAGAGTGTGACACATTTTCAAACATTCAATTATAGATTTCTTTCCTCCCCTTTCGGAAGCCAGGCGAGAGTGTGGGAATGGCTCCACCACGTGTGTCTGGGTTTTTAATGGTCAAGCTACAACATTCTCCACTGGGAGAGGCACCGACCTTAATGGTCTGTTGCCATGTTAATATTTTTCACTTCTACATCAGCGTGCACCTATTCTCCGGTGGTTACACTTATCGTTGACAGAACAGGCACCATTCCTGCTTACCAGTCGAATTTACACCAAACTGATACCCATCAATCGACCATCGAAAAAGAGCAGCGATTAAATTTTGGGACAGTTGACTACACCATTGCTATGGTAACGGGGTAAGGACTCATATACCAGCCATTTTTTTTTTATCCTGTTGGTTTTTGATCGCCATCCTGCAGTTTTTTTTTCGCTTTGAATAACACGATTTTTGAGTAGTGGTATCTCGATCGATGCTTAGATTGTAACGTATATAGGTTAGGTTACGCGACACCGTTCTCCTTTAGAGGGGGGTGCCACGTTTCCTACCCCTCAACCGAGTGAACCGATTAAAAGAATCGCTGCTTCTCTCTTATAAATTTTATAAGAGAATTAAATGTTTTTCTTTTTTTATAAGTATTTTAATGTTAATTAAATTAGAAGTTCGATTTCTATAGGGGAGGGTCCTCGCTCACGTCGTCTAATCTGTTTAGAAAGGCTACTGTATATTAAACATGCCAAGCGGGTAACTTATCGATTTTGCGATTTTAAAACATCGCTTTCGATTTAATGTGCGGTTAGATAGAACCGTACGATATTTTTCTTCGTGTCTAGAAGCTTCGTTTAACTTTCGTACATTTCGTTTTTTCAATTATGGATGCGCTAATTGCGTGCATACTTAACGTACGCTCGCCGTATTATAGATTTTAATCTCCGTGACGCTCCCCTTGTCTATTCCTTATGACGTACGTGATTGGGACTCCGATTTTGCGTTCGGGGTTTAGCATTATTCGGCCGGCGGAGGGATGGAGGCGGTCACGTGACCACCGCCTTACGTCATCGCCGCCGAGGCGCGTGTTTCTAAATACTCCCTTTAACGATTTAAGAGCCCGTTTGTGATAGCCTCTAATTCACTTTAACATTTTTTTCGACTCGCTAATGGTGTTTCTCGCTTGTTTACGAACTCGTTTCTGCCGGCGTATTACTAGATACGGTCTGCGCGATCGAATTCGTCGCGGGCGTGTAGGCTATCGGGGGGAACCGTTCTCTCTCTTCCCCTTTTTTTTTATTAATCACTCTCTCACCTCCTTTATTTACTACATTCTGGTGTTCCATCCATTTCTGACACTCGACTACTCACAGTAATTGTTAGGTAGTATGCAGGTCGCGACGTTGAGAGCAGCTCTTTCGTTGGCGGATGGGAATCCTAAAAAGCCCAACAGCGGATCCGTGGAGCCACGTATTAATCGCCGAAAGTAGCGTCCACGTCACACATTCACTGCTGAATTAAACAGGTGGGCGACATCCGCCATTCTCATCCGTAATCGCTATATTCCACTTGACATTACGTGAAGGAGACGATTTGCACTAGTTTCCTCTTCATCTTCCAGTAGTGATGTGCATTCAGACAAGTGAAAACACCCGGGAATGTCGGGTAAACATTTATATTTGGCTTCTAACCCGTTCCTGGATGCATAGCATTATCTAGGAGAATGAGTGAGTGAACCATAATACCATAGTCCTATATTTAAAAAAAATCAATCCATTCATAAATACTCAGCTTGATAATTCTTTTTCTCATGCCTAAAAATATAAATAGCTTCCTTTCTAATTCAAATTTAAAGAGGAATTTTGAAAGCTCTGGTTTCTGGTAACAATTTACATTAACCTAGATAGGTATTTCTCATTGTAAACTATAGTAAATTATTAACCTGTTTTGTTGTAACCAGTTAGCATAAAATCTGATAAGAACAGACTGTAAATTATAAGCATCGCAACTAGGCAAAATATTACACATTTAATATTTTGCTACCTGTTAAGATTTATTGTAGTCTTGGATGTGATTTTGAACACGTTTCCTGCTAGGATTTGGTTCCGGTAGTGTAATTCATTATTTTGTTTGTGCCATTTCTGAAGTTAAACTGGTTTCTAACAAGGACGTAGCCTGTTTATGGTCGTTACAACATTAAAAATTTTTTTTGGTTGTAACTATTAAACCGTAATCAGTAATCCTATCAACTTTAAAGTTGTTCAATTAATATAATTTTAATTTATTGCATATTATTTAGCAGAAATATGTTAAACAATAAACATGTGTATATAAAATTTTTATTTTATTTGTTAAATTTAATTTTTATTTTTTAAAATAATTTTCTAATTTTATACAACTCAAAGTTTAATATTTTAGATACACACACAAAATGCACCAGGGATAACTAACCCATAGAAGAGTAATGTTGGTAAGTTTATGCCAGATTTTGTTCATGAATAGAGGAAAGGTTTTGGTTAATTTGTTAATACCATGGGTTACTCTATAACTTCTTTCCATTTTCTCAGTTGTCAGCATAAAATTCTGGCATTAACAAATTAACCAAAACATTTCCTCTATTTATGTAACAAAAGCCAACCCCAGTTCACATATGGCATGAACTTCCCAGCATTGCTCTCTTATGGAAAGTTATTCATGGTAAATCTTGAAAAACTAATGAAACTTTCATTAGTTTTAGAGATTTCATAAAAAATATATACCGAGAAAATACAGTACATATAAATATATATTATACCTGGGGGGTTTTGGCTAACAAGGAGACCCTATGGCTTTGCAGAAACAGATTTTGATGATCTTTGGTGTAGAGGTAGTACACCATGTGAGTGTACTACCTGTAAAATACTAAAGTGCAATACTCAAATATAATCGAGAAAAACGAACTTAAAGTTTTCTTTAGCACTTTATATATAAGTTATGCATGCTTCCTCTTGAGCGTCCTGTGGCTGAGTGGTAACGATCTTGACTCGAGTGCTTGGGTTCAATTCTCTTGTGTATACTTTTTTTTTTATTCATNTGTTCAATTAATATAATTTTAATTTATTGCATATTATTTAGCAGAAATATGTTAAACAATAAACATGTGTATATAAAATTTTTATTTTATTTGTTAATTTTTATTTTTATTTTTTTTGTTACCAGGTGATGAAGTTTCTGTTAGCCATCAGTACACACATTAATTCCTGAACCATCATCGTCAATGATAACAAAATGTGCTGCTGTCCAGAGGTATGTGTTTTGTGTTTTTTAAAGCCATTATTTTTAAGTAATCCTGTTTATATATTTGTATAATGTTATGAAATCTAAATAATTTATCACTCTGCCAGTTTTAAATTATATATAAACCATTTCCTGCACTGTTTTAGAATGCAATTTTCTGCCATCACTTGCATATATTCATTTGTTTCTCCTTCACTAAAAGTTAAGCTGATCCATAAAAATTATAATTAAAAAGGAAATGAACTTGCACACTAAATATGTATACATGCGCGCGCACACACACACACACACTTTTTTTTTCATTAAAGTAGAACATTCGGTTCATATATTATGTAGTAAGCATAACAAATCATAAATTTTTGTTGATTTGTTTCCTGCATTTTAAATGCAGAAAATGGAAATTTTATGTCATAAAAATTTTATTTCTATCCTTGTGGATAACTGGCAAACTTTTTAAAATATGCTTTAGGATATAGATTTATATGGTAATTAAATTGGTGATATTTTTAGTTAATAATCAATCTCATGCAACAAATTTCAGATACGTTGCCTTAATGATAGATTGAGTAATGTTTGCCGAACAACCTCTTTTTAATTGCTTACTCTACTTATCTGTTACTTGGAGCAATGAAGTTTTCATCTTTCTCCTAATCTTTTTCATCCCCTCTTAAAATATTTGCACAATTAAAATTTAAAAAATTTTTGATTACAATAAATTTACTAAACAGAGTTTTGTTGCAACATTAAGCTTGTTAAATTGGATTCACAATGTATATTAACTAGATTAGATCCATTAAAACCCATGTAAATATCAGTTTATTGAATGTATGGTTTATTAATTTGCAAAGAAGAATTTTCTTTAGCTATTTAAAAAGCCATGACTTGAATATTCTTTGTATTCACATGAAAAAAAATTCAGTATTTTTACCGCAATGGAATGTTAGTTACTTAAATAATGAGTTTAGGTAGAATTTTTTATTAAAAGAAAAAATACTTGTAGTAATCAAATGAGAAGGTCCAGACCAAACAGGTACCTGTACATTACCCATCAGAAATAAGTAAAAACTGATAGCTTGAATTATGTAATGTGTAGTGTTGTACTATTATGAATTAATGTATTACAGACTGCATTTTGGTGAAATTTGGGAATACATTTATATAGATTTTTAGCAAATATAACACATTACAATATGAAAAATAAGAGCTCCTTCAATTATCATTTGAAGAGATCCGAATGATAATTCTGATACAGCTAATTTGTGGGTTCCCAGATGAGGTTCAAACTCGAGTAAACCGTGAAATTCTTGCGCGACACAAGATGTAAACAATGAGACTTGGAACTGTTCGAGTATGTGTCAAACTATCTGTCAAGGTCTTAGCAGAAGACAAACTCTAACACAAGCGCTCATAAATAGATAGATCATCAACTCGTGAGTTTATAAAATGTTGGGCGAGAAAAATCTTTTCAAACAAAAAAAGGGAAATTTTTGATAGATGAAAATGATCATTAAATTCTTAGATGTCAAAAAATGGTATAAACAATGGCCTGAGTTATGAGTGCAGTTGTTATTGTTTTATAAACAGTCACCGAGCAGAGTCGACAAAGAGGTATCAGATGGACACCTCGAATTGGACCTTTCCCACGACCCGAAAAGGTTTTGTCTTGCACCTGGAGAGAAAGGAGAGACCAATTGGGAAGCAAGGAATGGGACGAGGGACCAATCCAAAATGCGAATAGTGGGGGAAAAACTATAAAAATCGGAACTTCTAGGTTGAAGAGGAGTCTCCTCTGGATTAAGCCTACAGTTGTGCTTTATCTATTGTGTTGTGCTACCACCGATCACCTAGGACGCTGCAGCTTAACACCGAACATCTGCATCATCTAGCAATCCTTCTTGTCCACCTGGGCTACGATTGATCACCCGAACGCTCACTGTTTCATAGGAACACCGAGATTTTGGAATTGTTCAATATCTAAGTAAGCATGAATTCGAACAAATAAATGGGTTTTCTCTTGTAAAACACTTGATCTTCATTTGCCTCCTTTGCCACCGCCCACATATGCGGTTTCCCTTAGGCTCATTCTGACGCAGGATAAACTGTGCGCCCCTTAAAGTCAGCAAACTTACAAATTCTTGTTGGACTAAAACTTTAATTAATAAGATATGAAGCAATTTGAACAAACAGTAAGAGGTTAAGCTTATATCTCTACATTTATTGAGTTTGTTTTTATATGTAATACGATATATACATTATGCCAAACATAGTAGTAATACGATAAAAAACATACCTTTAACAATCCAGCAAATAAAATTTAATAAAATAAAAACATTTTAGATCATTTTAACTGATCTTCCTTGGTTACCATAAAATAGAACATAAATTTAAAAATAAATGAAAATGAGAATTTTGAAATACAGGTATACCTCGACTTACGTCGTTTCGAGTTACGTCGTTCCCGATTATACGTCGTTTGTCAAAAAAGTATATGGAAAAATAAAAATCAAGTTTAAGTCATTTTATTCGACTTTATGTCTGTCCGCCACAAATATTGAAGTCGTAATATCACTAGAAAAATGTTTAAAGCACATAAATCATATTAAAATATATACATTTACAAGTATGTACTGTATTTACAGTACATGCATTCGTAAATTTAGATTACTTTTTTCTGTACTATATTAATTAATTAAAAACTAAAATTTATTTGTTTGTAAGCTTAAAATAGATCCTTATTAACCATACATTATTAAAAATGCATTAATAAATAAAATACAAAACCAGAATTGGCAATTTATGGTTTAGCCTAGTGACAAGTAGATTTGGAGTCAAGTAAATTCGACTTACATCGTTTTTCGACTTAAGTCGTTCTCCTGGAACCAATTACCGACGTAAGGCGAGGTATACCTGTAAATACATAAATAACTGAAATATTTATGTATTTATTTCAAAATTCTCATTTTCATTTATTTTTAAATTTACATTCTATTTTCAAGTTCTATTTTATGGTAACTGAGGAAGATCAATTAAAACGATTGAAAACGTTTTTATTTTAGTAAATTTTATTTGCTGGATTGTTAAAGGTGTGTTTTTTATTGTATTCTATTTATCCAGTACATACAATATATGAGTAATAGTAGTAATTATAAGTCGCATAATTAATGCAATTTTCACATTTTAACTTGGTAATTACTTAATAAGTGTTAGCAGAAGTCCAGTCAGTAAAATTAATTGGTTTTAAAAAAAAAAAATACTGTTTATACATAAATCTTACAAAATTCCGTATTATAATAAACTAATTCAAAGTAAATCTCTTATATCACCGATTTAACGACATGATAACAATAGAGCTTTCTTAGAAGTTTGCAAAGTCTGTTCAGCATCTTAATCACTAGTTTTCATCTGCAAATTGTTTTCACTTCTCCATAAACTCATTAATGTGCTGTCAATATTCTACACACAGATCTCTTAGAACAAAGATTATTACTTACTTAATTTGGAAATGGTGAAAGTTTCACTTCACCAATGTTATAAAAAGCAATTGTTATTAAGTTTTTCCAATTATGTTATAATGATGAAGAAGATATAAAATTGTACCTGAAAATATAACTTCTGTTTTAATTCTCTTATAACAGGGAGCAACATGTATGTTAGTATTTTCCATTTGTGCTGCCGTCTTGGGAATGTTCCAATTTGGATACAACACAGGTGTTGTTAATGCTCCTGAAAATGTAAGTTGGTATTTTATTTATTATAAATTTATTATTTATTTTATTTATTGATTTATATACTTTGTTCTACCATTTTTTCATATAATTTACCAATAAGATCTATTATTTGAATGAAATGAAATTTGGAGTTCTGTTATTTTTTCTCATGGTAGAACTGCTGAAATTCTGACTTGCAGTAATAGAATCGTGAGATAAAATATTTCAATCTTACTTTTATGTTACTAAATGTTAGAAAATTGCAGAAAATATACTTGCAACCGAAATAAAAAATTATAAGATTGGTGGTTAGTAGTTCCAATTTAATCAATAGGATTTTCCACTCTGTTTGTTTTTCTCAATTAAATTAACAATTAAATTTTTCAACTGGAAAATTCTTCTTTAAAAATATATATACTATATTATTAAAGAAGTTTTCAAGAACATTTTTCCAGTTGATATAATTTTATTATTTTTATTTATTATATCAGAGAAGAACACTTACTTAAGGTTTTAATCTTTTTTCTATAATCAAAATATTAAACATTAGTAAAAAGTAGATTTTTTGTGTGTGTTTGTGTACTGAAGAATCTATTTTAGATATACTTATAAATCATTAAAAATTACATGTTTTTATGATAAAACTATTTTTAAAATTAATTTTATACTGAAGCTACATGGAGTAACTGTTGATCCATTTGTGTAATATGAATGTTAGAATGCTTAGATATGTGCCTTTAATATATTTTTTGTAAATCAGATGGAATAAATACATCTAAAGGTTGGTTTTAACTATTTTCAGTGTCTAACTGCAACAGTAGACTGATATTACACATTTAAAATCATATTGCACATAAATACAATGGATGCTTGTCTCTTATATGTTTCAATGAGATGGTTTGCACAACTAGAAGATACTCTTTATCTTGATATGGAGTTGAAAAATGGGCGTTACCAATGAGGATAACTTTGTCTAAATGAAACAAAAATTAAATATGAGTCAATTAATAAAGTACATGACATTTAATCAGATTCTAGCAAAAAATAATATAAATTGTGTAACATAATTAAAATATGTTTTTATTTGAATGCAAAGATAAAAACTGTAGATATTAACAAGATAAAAACTGTAGATATTAACTAGGTAAAAATCAATAAAAGCATTACAATAGAATAGAAAAGTTACTAAAATGAAACAGATAAATGAATGTACTGTACTTACATGTATAAACATTTTAAATAAATAATGATAGGTTGCACTGTTGTGAACATTGAACTAAACTACCATGAATTTTTTAATTTAAATGTTGTAGTTTGTAATTTTATAGTGCGTTATTCTATCTACAGTGTATAAAATTTCTAACAAGCATTACATCTATGTATAAATTCATAATATACTATTAAAAGTTCTTTATAATAGAAGAAACACACTAAAATGATAAAAGAATGTCTTCACATTTTTTTTTGTTTTTTCTTACGTCTTTGGTTTACAACAAAGTCATATGACTAAGTTGATCTTTATTTTGAGGCTCTTCGCTGTTGTAATACATAAAATTTGTTAAAATCATTCCTCTGCCAGTGACAAATGTATTATTGGTAAAAAGTTAAAGACAAATGTATTTCAGTTAAAAGTTCTGTATAATAGAAGAAACTAAAAACATTGTCTTTATATTTATCTTTGTAACACCAGATGTTGTTTTACAAAGACAAATATAAAGACACAGTTTTAGTGTGTCTTTATATGGGGCTTATAATTGGCCTGGACTTCTTCCAGTATTGTAATGTACTGTTTAATTGAAAACTTGCAATATAATTTAATTTTAATTAATTATGAAGAAATGCTTTAATCTAAGCTCAAGGTTTCTTAGTAAGATTTTGAATATTTATGAGAAAATGAGCAATTATTTATTGTGATGTCGTCACAATGCCAGGCTGCAATTTTTAATCATATTTTTAATTTAATTTAAAATATGTGCTTGCCACCTCAAATTATAGCGACTTGTCTCTATACATCATGCTTTTCTTTTAACAATAGAATTGTGCTGGTCATCTAACATCTTTCAAGGGTAAATTTTTGGATTGAAATAACATGACATCTGGTTTGCATCAGAAGTTTGTATATAGTTAATCAAGGCTTCCTGTCCCCAAGGTTTCAATATCTGGTCTTGTCTTCATCTATCTAACTTCGTTCTCAAGATTAAGGAAAGATGGACAGATGACAGTGGAAATTTATAGGTCTACAATTTTTTCAAATTGCAGCCCAATAAGACAAGTTCTTTCTCATTATATAAAGCAGCAATTTGTTCTTAATTTTTATCATTTATTATTACAGCTAATATAAGCATTTGAATTTAATATTTTTTGTCTGATAAACTATCATTAATAACCATAACAGAAGTGACCATCTCCAAAAGATATATTACTGTTTGTTTGTTAGTGGAAGTACAACTTATTCAGTTATTTTCTATGAATTATATGCTTGCTCTAAATTAATGGCAGATCTATAACAAGTAATTTAGCGGCTTCACATATTTAAATCACCTGGAGGAAGGGTCAACTACACTATTTGATGTGTTCTTGTGATATGAAAAACTATACAAGAAATTTAAAATATTAAAATTCAACACAATCCAACTGGATTAATTTATCCTTCATAGACATAATAATACTTTATAGAAGTCCACAGATTTAAAAAATTATATTATTTAATGATTTTAATTATCCATCATCAAATTAATATACTTAAAATTAGTTTTCTGCTGTAGGTGATAAAGGAATTCATTGCTGATATATACAAAACTCGTACGGGACATGCCATTGCAGATAACTTCAAAGATTTTTTATGGGCAATAACTGTTTCTGTATTTGCAATTGGTGGCATGATTGGTGGAATTAGTGGAGGATCAATAGCAGATAAATTTGGAAGGTAAGTGTAGTAAATAATTCATTAAAAACACTTTCAATATACTTGTATATGATTAAGTTTTAGAATTTATTAAATTGCCAGTTCTTTTACAGGAAAGGAGGACTTTTATTAAACAATATAACTGGTATTGTAGGAGCTGGTTTCATGGGATTCAGTAAAATTTCTCGAAGTGTTGAATTGCTCATTATCGGACGCCTTATTATTGGATTTAATTGTGGTATGTAAATAAAGAAAATCTCTATAAATAAGACTGGAAGGCAATTCAGTTATTATTTTATTATTATTTTTTTAAAAAAAAAATACTGTTTATACATAAATCTTACAAAATTCCGTATTATAATAAACTAATTCAAAGTAAATCTCTTATATCACCGATTTAACGACATGATAACAATAGAGCTTTCTTAGAAGTTTGCAAAGTCTGTTCAGCATCTTAATCACTAGTTTTCATCTGCAAATTGTTTTCACTTCTCCATAAACTCATTAATGTGCTGTCAATATTCTACACACAGATCTCTTAGAACAAAGATTATTACTTACTTAATTTGGAAATGGTGAAAGTTTCACTTCACCAATGTTATAAAAAGCAATTGTTATTAAGTTTTTCCAATTATGTTATAATGATGAAGAAGATATAAAATTGTACCTGAAAATATAACTTCTGTTTTAATTCTCTTATAACAGGGAGCAACATGTATGTTAGTATTTTCCATTTGTGCTGCCGTCTTGGGAATGTTCCAATTTGGATACAACACAGGTGTTGTTAATGCTCCTGAAAATGTAAGTTGGTATTTTATTTATTATAAATTTATTATTTATTTTATTTATTGATTTATATACTTTGTTCTACCATTTTTTCATATAATTTACCAATAAGATCTATTATTTGAATGAAATGAAATTTGGAGTTCTGTTATTTTTTCTCATGGTAGAACTGCTGAAATTCTGACTTGCAGTAATAGAATCGTGAGATAAAATATTTCAATCTTACTTTTATGTTACTAAATGTTAGAAAATTGCAGAAAATATACTTGCAACCGAAATAAAAAATTATAAGATTGGTGGTTAGTAGTTCCAATTTAATCAATAGGATTTTCCACTCTGTTTGTTTTTCTCAATTAAATTAACAATTAAATTTTTCAACTGGAAAATTCTTCTTTAAAAATATATATACTATATTATTAAAGAAGTTTTCAAGAACATTTTTCCAGTTGATATAATTTTATTATTTTTATTTATTATATCAGAGAAGAACACTTACTTAAGGTTTTAATCTTTTTTCTATAATCAAAATATTAAACATTAGTAAAAAGTAGATTTTTTGTGTGTGTTTGTGTACTGAAGAATCTATTTTAGATATACTTATAAATCATTAAAAATTACATGTTTTTATGATAAAACTATTTTTAAAATTAATTTTATACNTATAATGTATTTATTTATTTACTCATTCATTTATTTTAATTTAATTTCTACTATTCCACATCTAATATTTTTACTTTTGTTGACAATAATGGTGCATTCTTGACACCTATGTGTCAACTTTCCCATCCAATTGTTATCACCATAGGTGACCTCCATCTAATTCTCACTAGAAGCGTTTTTTTTTTGTTGGAGTTCTTTTTCACTCACTCTTTAACAGTTTGTTTCTGAATTTTGACACAAATAGACATATTTGTGCAATGAAATTTATTTTGAAAAATTATTTTATAATTAAAAAATGTCATCAAGAGAAGCAAGTTCTTTACATTGTGATGAAAAAACTGTTGACGATAACTCTATACAGTAATGTATCGAAGCAGTGGCTAAAAGATGGAGTAGTGTATTATGAGAGTTTACTTTCCAAAAATAATTTAATTGCAATAACATCTTCTGATACACTATCTGAAAATGCTATGCTGATAGGCACAGAATTATACAATAATATATTGGATGTGTTGAATGAAAAAAATTTATAAATGTTGCAATTAAATTATTTTTGAAAAGTAAACTCTCATAATACACTACTCTATCTTTTAGCCACTGCTTCGATACATCACTGTATAAAGAGTTATCGTCAACAGTTTTTTCATCACAATGTGAAGAACTTGCTTCTCTTGATGACATTTTTTAATTTATAAAATAATTTTTCAAAATAAGTTTCACTGCACAAATATGTGTATTTGTGTCAAAATTCAGAAACGAACTGTTAAAGAGTGAGTGAAAAAGAACTCCAATAGAAAAAACGCTTCTAGTGAGAATTAGATCGGAGGTCACCTATGGTGATAACAATTGGATGGGAAAGTTGACACATAGGTGTCAAGAATGCACCGTTATTGTCAACAAAAGTAAAAATATTAGACGTGGAATAGTAGAAATTAAATTAAAATAAATGAATGAGTAAATAAATAAATACATTATAAGTATTTATGAATAAAAAAAAAAAAAGTATACACAAGAGAATCGAACCCAAGCACTCAAACATACAAGTCAAGATCGTTACCACTCAGCCACAGGACGCTCAAGAGGAAGCGTGTATAATTTATATATAAAGTGCTAAAAAACTTTAAGTTCGTTTTTCTCGATTATACTTGAGTATTGCAGTTTAGTATTTTACAGGTAGTACACTCACATGGTGTACTACCTCTACACCAAAGATCATCAAAATCTGTTTCCCCAAAGCCGTAGGGTCTCCTTGTAAGATTTATTACCTTGCAACAGGAAATGAATGGGTCAAAATTAAAAGAAATACTTACTGATACATTTCCAGAACTATCAAAACTGTTTATTGACTACTTTATGGGTTACAGCTACAACATTTGAAATAATTACTGTTTACAGTTACCCAGTTCAATATCTTCCAGCTCAATTGTTATGTTGATGTTTGTGTTTGTTTTTATATGAGCCCTTTAAAGCCAAAGTGGTGTAACTCCATTTTTGAAGAAATCTGTGTTAATGCTAGAAATGAATTACGAATATGTAAAAACTACCTACAGGAATAGTGGTGTAACTCCTAGTTTCCCAAACAGCTCCATAGATGGCAGCACAAGTTTATGCAGTCAGCAGTGCTATATATCTGTTGATAGCCAAAGTGGTGTAACCGGGAGTTACACCACTATTCCAGTTACTGTTTTTGTTCTAGTGTTGTGAAAGCTACATGCGACTGATTATATATTCCACGTCATTGTGCATAACTTATTTTATTTTTTAAATGAGTGAAGCATTGAGCTCAGAAAGTGACAGGGACAGTGTTAGCACTCCAAGTATATTGGCTGACAATGGATCTAGTGACGAATATGTGCCTTCAGAAGTAGAGATAACTACTGGTGAGTGTTTTTATTATTTCTATTGTGTTTGAAGCTAAACAAAATAAGTTATAAATCTACATACAGTAGATCGTCGTTTATCCAAATCAATTGGGGCCTGGGGTTGTTCGGATAACTTATTTTTCGGATAACCAATTATGTACGAAAAAAATACATTAACCTATCTCGTGTTGAAATTTTTCTCCGTTGCGTGTCGCTTCGCATTGAATTTTTGTTGATGTTAAGCTTAATGTAAACTTTTTAAAATAATAATCGTGGCTATTGTATCTTTAAAAGTTACTTCTTTATTTTTTACAAACAAAATATATATATTGAAAAATAAAAACAAAAAAAATTATACTTTAGAAGTTAATCTAGTATCAAAAACGTTCGATTCAGCATGACACACAGTCCTCGGAAAAACACCACACAAAAGTGTCAGTGCTGCCAGCTAAAACACACACATCAACAAAAAAAATATTGGAGTAGCCCAAGATATAGTCAAAGATTCAGCGCCACAGCACTAGCAAAAATTTAAATTTGCCGACTGGAATTCTTTTGGATAAATGACGCTCTACTGTAATAGCATATTTGTTTTAAATAAAAATGTATTATTTCTTTAAACTAAATTAATTATTCATCTATTGTTTTAATCATTTTGTTAACCATTTTTATGTATTTATATTCTGACAGTTAGTGGTTATGGTTAAGTTAGTTAGCTTTTATGTTAGTTTGGAAAAACTGTGACAAATCAATGTCTGGTTATGTTAAAATATGCCTTTATTATGTTTTTAGATGAAAATGGAGAAGAGGAAGATGAGGCAGAGGTTCATCCAGCAGAAGGTCTAGAAACTGAAGAAACAGAATATGAGCCAAAATGATGTCAAAAGAGAAATAGAGTAGAAAGAAAAGAGAAAGAGATTGAGAAATGTAGGACAATCTTACAAAATTGAAAAAGGAAAATTGGTTAGAGGGAAAACATTTAGTAATCCTAATTGCAACTGCAGGAGTAAGTGTTTTGAAAAAATGTCGTAGGATCCACAAAAAAATGCTTTTGATTCATTCTGGAAGACCGGTTCTTTCACTGTCCAAAACACATTTTTATGTGGTTTAATAAAGCGAGCAGTGCCTAAACGTCATAGGCCAAAAGATGGTTGTAGAGCAGCAAAGTCCACTACTAAGCATTATTACATTATGCAAAGTGATGGAACATCTGTACACGTGTGTAAACAATATTTCTTAAAAACCTTCCAAATATCTGATGGCTGGATAACTAGGGCTACTAGGAAGATAAAAGCTGGACATTCACCAGGCTTAGACAACCAGGGAAAGAACCAAGGAAACCCTGTAAATAAAATACCTGATGAACAATTGACAGTGGTACAGGACCACATCGCAACATTTCCCACTTATCAGTCCCATTACACCAGAGACCATAATCCAAACTGAAAATATTTGTCAGAAGATCTAAATATCCACTTGTTATTTAACCTGTACAAGGACTACTGTGCTGAGCAGGGCAAAGAACCAGTTAAAGAACATGTTTACCATAGAACATTTAATACAGAGTTCAATCTATATTTTCATGTTCCACATAAGAACACATGTGAAATGTGATTCCTTTAAAATTAGATAAACTCCTCAGTAGATGACCAAGAAAAGAGAGGACTTAAAGTTGAGCATGGATTTCACCTATGAATGGCTGAGAAGGTAAGAGATGCTATAAAAAAGACTCCAAAAAATTGGCTTCTGATAGCTCCTATTACTGTTTTTCATTTGATTTGGAAAAGTCATTACCATTCCCAAAACTTACATGCCAAATCGCTTATTATAAATGTTTATACGTTTATAACTTAGGTTGCCATGAGTTAGCAACAGGACTAGGCTACATGTATTGTTGGGATGAAACTGTAGGATCTAGAGGCTCACAGGAAATCAGTACATGTGTGGTCAAACACATAAAATGTAGAGCACCAACAGCAAAACACATTGTATTATACAGTGATACATGCACAGGACAAAACCGAAACTGGAAGATGGCATTAAATTTATTGAGGCTAGTTTTGAGTGATGACAACAGCATTGAAACCATTAATTAAAAGTTTATGATCAGTGGTCATTCCTATCTTTTGAATGACTGACTTTGGCTCAATTGAATTGTACAGTAAGAGTCAACAGATTTTTTGCCCTTCTGACTGGTATCGAGTTATCATGAAAGCAATCCTTTCCATCTTACTGTGATGTCTGGTGAAGAGTTTTTAGCTACACGAAATATGGAAAAAACCATTACCAAGAGAAAGCTTGATGAAGAAAACCATCCAGTTTCATGGCTAAGGATGTAATGGATTAGGTATTAGAAATCCGATCCATTTACAATCTTTTACAAGGAGAACATGTCTGATGAGCTTGCATTTTTCAAGCTGAACATCAAGCCACCAGGAATACGAGGATGGCCGTTATCACTGGCAAATGTACCTTTGTCTCAACTCTACAATGGACCAAGGCCTGTGACAGGAGAGAGAAAAAAAAAAAGATATGCAAGATCTTTTGGCCTACATTCCCCCTATTCATCATGCATACTATTTAAACCTTCACACTTCTAACTCTGTTGAAGACAATGGACCACTGCCTGCTGATGATACTAGGGATGTTGAATAGCAGAAACTGTTGTGGCTAATATCTAACTAGATGACATTTATTTATATCATTTTTTGACGTAATATACTACTTTTAAAGAAAATAAAAAATAAAATAAAAGACAAAACTGTCCAAAAAATCTACATTTTCCAGCGCTAATCTTTAGTAGATAAAAGAAGAAGAAAAACCCCAAGAGAAGGTATGATGGAAGCAAGACAACTGCATGTCACCAGTTCCTTTTTCAATTTTATAAAAAATTTTAATTGGATTTTTGTGTTTTTAAAAGGACTTTTTGTGAACTTTACGGCGACAAGTAGCCTAAAAAGGAATGTCAGTCGCCGAAAATGTTTTAGTCTTGGAACACAAGTAATAAATGGTGATCCTTTTTGGACAGTTTTGTCTTTTATTTTATTTTATTAAAAGTAATTCTCCATCGGACAAACTTTTACAGAAGAAATTTCTACATGTATCGTCACCAGAGGGCAACTTCTCTAAAAATCTACATTTTCAGCGCTAATCTTTAGTAGATAAAAAGCAGAAGCAACGCCTAAAGAAGGTATGATCGAAGTAAGCAAGACAACTGTATGTCACCAGTTCCTTTTTCAGAAATTTTATAAAAAATTTTAATTGGATTTTTGTGTTTTTAAAAGGACTTTTTGTGAACTTTACGGCGACAAGTAGCCTAAAAAGGAATGTCAGTCGCCGAAAATGTTTTAGTCTTGGAACACAAGTAATAAATGGTGATCCTTTTTGGACAGTTTTGTCTTTTATTTTATTTTATTAAAAGTAATTCTCCATCGGACAAACTTTTACAGAAGAAAATAAAAAATATTTTTTTTTGATTATGCAAGTTTGTTCTTGAACCATATCCTAAATCTTTGTAAAGCCAAAGTAGGGTAAGTCACTTAAGTGCTTATAACTTACTTATAAAGTGGGGATAAGGGCAAAAAAAAACATACATAAGCTAAAACAATCAATTTTGAACACATGGGGTGGGGAAATTTTTGTTTGGTAGTATTCTGGAATTTTCAACAACTATTCTACTAAAAGTCTTTATTTCTCAAAACAGTGTTTAATGGACTTATACCACTTTGGCTTTAAAAGACTCATATAATTGTCAGAATCAAAATTTTGATTACCATCTCCTAGTTAAACTCACCATCTTCAATTAGTTTTTCCAATTACCCTTCAGCTGATAACCTCTTGATTTGTGAACTCAATTGTGACTTTCCCACACTCAAGATTTGATAATATTTATAATTTTATTTCTAAAAATGTTTTCATAAACCTTGGAATAGAAAGTACTATCTCACTATGAATAATATGAAGAGAGAGAATTTCTTGCCTGTCATTCTAAACTGTTATTCTGTATATAGTACAGTACATCAACATGTTTCTGTGAATCTCAAACCAGAGTTTATTTGAGACTTGGGTTTATTTTAATATCAGCTTTATTTCCAGGGTTTAATTGATGAAATCCAGTACAGTACTGGACCAAATATCTGGCTTACAGAAATCTGGAATTACCAGTAAAGCAACTATTTTTGAACTTGGTAAGCTGTAATACAATTGTAGTTCATCACATAACTAGTTTGTTTTGGTTTCTATGGTGTACATGTTGCACAGTGCCTGTTCCAGTGATTGCTGGTATTTTTGTTTTTATCTTCTATTGTTTATTTTACATTTTATGTTTAGAAAACCCAAAAATCCAGAAATTAGGCCACTCCACTTCCAGTCCCAAGCTTATCAGATATTTGGTCCAGTAGTGAATATGATTTTTACCTAAACAATAAACTGATGACTGGATGACAAAGGTGATTAGGATGTCAGCCTATTGCTCTGTTGACTCAGAATTGAGTTCAGGGGAATGAAGAATACTGGAAATTTTCATAGTCAATCTGTCTTGGATACTTTGGATCCCTTCCATCACCACCTGTTGCCTCCTTGTGGACCTGGCCAAACCCGTGGTGGGCCAGGTCCACAAGGACTAAAAAGGCCCTCTGAATGTTTGCAGTGTAGAAAGAGTATTATAACTATTTTTTTTTTTTTTACTCGTTCATAAAAGTAAATCAAAAATTATAAAACAAAATTATAAAAGTTTTCTTAGATTGGCTGTTAAATAAATTTAGAATGAAAAATTGAAGATTTAAGTTTAATCTATTAACATATCAAATGCAATATAATTAACATTAATTATTCAGACTTGCTTGCTTAATAAATTTATAAAATAAAACAGAAATTCTTACAATCTACAATTTTGTTATTCAAACTTTTTGAAATTCCAAACAAAATTAGAATAACCAAGTCCAGCTGAAAATTTAAGAGTAAAAATTAGAATATTTAAAATTTATGTTGCTCTTATTTAATGTACAGGGTATTAAATGCTAATAATGATAATAGATTTTTCTAATTCCATTTTAAAATCTTAATTTGTATTTTAGGTACAGTGAACCAACTAGGGGTTACGATAGGACTCCTCCTTTCACAAGTGCTGGGCATAGAGCTCATTCTTGGTACAGATAAAGGATGGCCATTTTTATTTAGTGAGTATCTTCTGCATGTTTTTGTTTGTGAATAAAAATAACTGGAAAAACTGTTATATGATGATAAAACTTTGATCTAAAAGGTATAGCAGTAATTCCTTCTGCATTGCAACTTGTGCTCTTGCCCTTATGCCCCGAAAGTCCTCGATATTTGCTCATTTCAAGACAACAAGAAGCATTAGCCAGAGAAGGTTAGGATTAATCTGGTTTTTTTTAATCATGTACAGTACAGTGGGTGATTGGTTAACAAACAAATCGGATAACAAACACTTTTGCAAAAAATGTTTATGTTCAGACAATGAACACCTTACAGAACAAACACAAAAGAAGTGACATAAAATAATGAATACCGATTGGTCTTCCCTTGTCTTCAGGCAACAATTTGAAACTTTTCGGAGAGCAGGAAATGTTGACATCGATGTTCAACCCAGTATATACTGATTGGATAGTATTCCTCCGAACTTTGAAACTCTCCCTTGTAATTCCTGCCTTTTATTTTTCTGACAGAAACAATTCTTTTATAGTATTTGTGAGACTGTCGGGTGGGCACTCGTTAAGTTTTGCATCAGTTTTTATTTTCAAAAGATGAGAGTATAATAGCAAAGGTAGAGAGTGGGCAGAAGATGTCTGATGTTGCTGGACAGTATGCAGTTGCTGGACAGCTGGTCTACAGTAGGCTGCAGTTCAATCTTATCTAAGAAAGATACAGTATAATCAAAAAGACTCAAGCAGCTTAAGGAGTAACAAAAATTACATCTGAGAAATAAAGAACATTGAAGAACTCATAAAGGAACCTGAAACAGATCTGACAACAGAGGAACCCCAAGAACTCTTGAATGAAGAATACCAAGAAACTTAGCAAGATATGTTTTCTTTTGAAAAAGAGGATTAATGCCAATATCTGGTATTAAAGATCCTTTGAAGATGTGGGAGGATGTCAGAACAACGGTCTTAGAATGACATTCAAACCAGATTGAGGTTAATAGGCTTGGGGATCTCTACAATTACAATACTATTAATTACTTCTGAAAAATCCTGAAGAGAGAAAAGCAATCGACATTAGACAGATTCTTTAACTCCCACAAACGGAAAAAGCATGATTAATAAAAATGCAAGACTTGTATATATATGTATTTTTATTATACATATAAATAAACGTAGTAAGAAAGTGCGTATATATTTTTTATTTTTTGGGGTCTCCAGAACAAATTAATCAAATTCTCATAAAAACCTATGATAAATCGATAATTGGTTAACGAACAATTCAGATAGTGAACAAAGCCTTGGAATGGATTATGTTCATTAACCGATCACCCACTGTAATTCTGGCTTTATAAATAAATGTTTATTTATCATTACAGCTTTAGTAAGACTACGGTGCTCAAATCACGTGGAAGATGATCTCGAAGAAATGAAAGCTGAAGAAAGAGCACAGCAACAAGAAGCACAAGTATAAATAATATGACTTGCTAATTTTTATTTGATTTTAGAATACTTGTTTTTACCAAACGATGCAAGTTTTTAATTTTTTTACAGATAAGTATGTGGCAGCTAATTTGCAGTAAATCTCTTCAATTACCCCTTATTATAGGAGTTGTGATGCAGTTATCTCAACAGCTTTCAGGAATTAATGCGGTGTGTATCATTGTTGGCATAAAATTTAAAAACAAATAAGGGTGTTTTGCTTTAATTTGAAATTTTTTCTTGCAGGTTTTTTACTATTCAACAGGTTTATTCAAAGCCGCGGGCCTCTCTCAGCTTTCGGCTATGTATGCGACAATTGGAGTTGGTGCAGTCATGGTCATAATGACGCTGGTCTCCATTCCTTTCATGGATCGAGCAGGGCGCCGCACTCTTCATCTCTACGGATTGGGTGGAATGTTTATTTTTAGCATATTTATCACAATATCACTTCTTGTTAAGGTAAACTTCAGTTTTTTTTTTAATTTATTTAAGAAAGCATTTTTATTTTTAAAAATTTAATTATATATTTTAGTTCCTATACCACTGGGTTACATACTTAAGTGTTATCAGTACTCTTGCTTTTGTAGTCTTCTTTGCTATTGGTCCAGGTAGACTGTTTTGCTTAATTTTTAATTAATTTTAGATGTAAAAATGTATTTACATGATGTTCTTTTCGTTAAAGGATCAATTCCTTGGATGATAACAGCCGAGTTGTTCTCTCAAGGTCCCAGACCTGCGGCAATGAGCATAGCAGTGTTAGTTAACTGGTTTGCAAATTTTACAGTGGGTCTCGTTTTCCCACAAATGCAGGTAAATGTCACGAAATATTTCCTCAAAAAGACTACAGTATATAAATGGCAAAATTAAATATTTTATTTTACAGCGATGGCTGGAAAATTACACATTCCTTCCATTTACATTTTTTCTTGCCATATTTTGGACATTTGCATACAAGAAAGTTCCAGAAACGAAAAATAAAACATTTGAAGAAATATCTGCATTGTTTAGGAGGGACGGAATCATTAATATAAACGGACTATCAATACCAAAGAAGTCATTGCAAGGAGAATTGGTGTTTGAAGAGAAACCAGTAGAAACATGTAAGACTAAACTTTGATATATTTGTTTATTTGTTTCATAATGTTTGCACCGCAGCATATTTTCTGTATTTTTTATTTTCATTATTTTTTTTTATATGGTTTTTTTTAATTTAACAATTTTTGTTATTATTGGTGATTTGAATACTTGCACTAGCTTCTTTTATTGCTGTTAAATAAGGAAAATTAACATTTGCTTCAAGTAATTATATGGAAAGTTTATTTTTAGGTATTATTAATTACAATATTATCAGTTTTGGTGAATTGTTTACAAAATTTATGTAACTGCATTTGTTCAATATTAACAACATAAGTATTAATAACAATTTGCACTTGATTGCTTTGAATTTTTCATTTTTTTACTATAACACCAAGAGTAATGTAAGTAAACGAGATTAATTAATATATAAAAAGCTGCACTGCAAACAAAAAAAAATTTACTTAGTTACATCATTCATTTATTTATACAGTGAATAATCTGTAAAGTTGTTTCTGGCTCTAATATTCTAAAATATGTAGGTGCAAAATTGATGAAACACTCATAATTTGTATTAGGTGATGCTCTTCGTCCTTCACTCTATTTAATGGACAAGTTGTATAGTATTCTAAGTGAACTCACACCTTGATGTTGCTAAAATCCAGTATGCCTGTTATAACAGTTTAAAATATTTATCAACACACATCTTACCTTACTAAGCAAACTATTATATTTAAATAATAATAATAATCGTTTTATGGAGATANTCTAAACTGAGTGAAAAGTATTTTGATATGTAAAAAACAAAGAACAATATGCAGTTACAGGAAATTCAAGGGACAAAATAATCACCAAATTACGAGATATCTGTACAGTATATGAAATGCCATGTAACTGATATAATTTATTAAGTTGAGCAAACGGAATACGGCTACGTATACAGAAAGCTATATTTTTAATTAATAATAATAATAATAATCGTTTTATGGAGATAGTTATGTATGATAGAATAAATGATCCATTATCATGCAATTAGCACACTTTATTTTATTCACAAATCTTTCAAACAATATAGAATTGGTTATTTAACAATATTTATTGCTATTTTTATGTATTGCTAATCAGTGATTTGGTTGAAAAATTAATTAATCTTAAAATGAATTTTAAAACTGTCAAAAGATTTAAGATTATTTAATAGTAATAATGGGCAAAAATTATTGTTTTATAAATCTACAGAAATTGTATCAAAGTAAATTAGATTCCTTTTTTTAATTCTCAATGTTAGGATTTATGTGTAAATTAATCATTGTTACATAAGTGGATGACTCTTAGAAAGAAATGCAATATCAAGCATTTATTAATTAAATTAAATTAGAAGAAAAAATAAATGCACACTAATTTGGAGGTAAGCCCTTTCATATAGGCTTCAATTATTTTTTAAAATGCAATTTCACTTTCATAAATTGTTCTGCCCCAAGCTTTTATCCAAAAGCTTAATAGTCTCGGTATTTTATTTTAAAGAGATCAAGAGAAATCACATCAGAAGTCTGCAGTGTGCTTGGCTGGAAAGCCCAACTTGCATGATAAACAATTTTTCAAATGAGAAAGTTAAACATTCTGCACAAACATAGCAAATACAATTTATAATAGCCCATATGTGTGTTCAGATTAAAACTTTTGGAATATTCTCAGAGGCCTTAAATATAATAATGTACCATTTTAATGGATTTCAAATGTTCTGTACAAAATTTTCCGAGATTCAACAATCACTATTTTTAAATTTTTCATATTTTTAATATAAATTAAAAAAAAAAAAAAAAAACTTAAACCATTAATATGATATGAAATTACTTGAAAGCATTAGTTAATTTGATATTTTGCAAAATTATACATTCCAAATTTTGCTAGAATATTTTTATCTGAAAGTATATCAGCCTCCTACAGCTGTTTCTATGAACAGTTCTGTGAATATATTTATTTTTGTAAAAGAAAATGTATTTTTTTTTTTTTTTTAGATTAGTTATTCAGTCATATAACTTTTTGTAAATGAATGTTTTTAATTGTGTATGTGTATATATATANTAAAAGAAAAAACACATGATATCGGTAACGATAACAGTACTCTTACCTTGGTGCTGAGATATATGTTGATTTCATTATTTATAACTTGTATCAAATGTACATTTTTTGTACAATGTCAAATACATGTTGTTTTATGACCAAGTCATGAAAATAAAAAAATTTCATTACTACAATTGTTTGGCGTTGTGTTAAAGAATATAACCGATCCACTGTACTTTTGTCGACATATTTTTAATAAAATTTAATTTTGCAAGAGTTATCTCTTTAGTTCTTTACTAGTATGTAAGTGATACCGTTGCGTTTTTATTTTGATGGAGAGAAAGTGGCGGAACGCCGCCTCCGCTTTCTCTCTGCAGTGCACCTAGTAATGTTAATTCAGTAGGCTTTTTTACAGTGTTTAAGTTGTTAATTTTCATTAGAAAGTGTTAGAATTTAATTTTGGTTTTCAATCTTTAGTTAACCTAAAATTTACTCTTCAGATGGCACATTTCAAGCAGGAGGGTGGCACTATTACATGGAGAGACACGCTCTGTGAGACGCTCCGTTCTTTTGCGACGGCATCGACGGGACTGCTCTCTGCGGTGCACACCCTACCTTTATTTGAAGTTTTAAGTGATCTATTAATACCGTAGGTTGGGAAATTAGGAATTGTATTTTCTGTTTATCTATTTCCCTATATTGTATTTGTCAAATGGCTGCTTGATATAGGGATTGCCAATGGTTGAAGTTATGTTTATTAAGTGAAGAAGATGTGAGCTACAACCTATGTCTCTTTCAAACAAGGCTACCTCCATCATTACCATCATTGTCACTATGGGCAATACCGCAGTGGAAAAAAATTGGTGGAATTTATACCAAACCACATCGAGGAGCAGCTATGACAAAGATCTCCTGGGAACTGTCTACCAGTTCCACTCTACAGATTGACAGGTGATTAGGAACAAGACAACAGTCAAAATATAATTTTTTGTATGATATCGTTATATGTTACTTGCATGTCTTTTTAACAAATTGCACGTTTGTGTCTGCCTGCATATCTTTCTTTCTTTATGTAGTGTGGAAACGGAACCACTCCATGTCAACCGTGCCCAGTTTGTTTCCCTTGTAAGTGTACTCATTTTTTTGATTATGGGACCAACAGTATCATTTTACTTATATTATGTTACACCTTCGGTTTTTTTATGGTGATAATCATGTTTCAGATTACTCTTTTTATCGGGAAAAATATCCATCCTACGGAAACACACAAAACACACACACACTCACTTCACTCACATACATATCTACGATTACTTGTGACAAACTTGTATGCAAATTTTACATCTTTGAATTAATACTTTTCTATTAAAGCACCGAAACAAAAGGAAAAAATCAGAAATTATCATGTAATTATTGAACATATCGTGATAACAGTTGAACTTCCCGAAGTTTATTGTTAATGTATGTCAATGGTATTTGTAGTTAAAAGATAAATTGATTTTTTACTTTAATTATTATACATACATATATATATTATATATATTTAAAAAAAAACAAAAAAACAGCCAGAATTTCTTGAAATTATGCAGTTTACCAAGACAAAACTTTTTCCTCCATCCAATTATATTATCATTATCAAAACTAATCTTGTTAAAATTTAGTGTATGATATAAAGTGCCTTTTTTATTATTATAATGCTCTCTACATATTGAGCTGTCCTCCGGATAAGTAACAACACGCAACTGCAGACATTCATAAAAAAAAGAAAAACTTCCGCAGCATAAATGTTCAATGGCTGATTTACGAATTGTAGTCTTTTCGTTTTAACATGATCTTTATTTGTTTTCTGTATTATGCCTAACCAAAGACAGTGACAAGTCAAGATGCCGCCAATGCCGTTTCACTTCAATTAATCAATAAAAGTGCCTCGACGTTTGAAGCATTTAAACACACTACGTAAATTTAAACTTGAGTTAAAAAGCAATATTGGACATAGGGCTTCCAGCTGCTTTATTCGATAATTTAAACAACATTTCGTCCGGAGGGCTCACTAGTTGACAAGCTGCTTAAATGCACGATCTGTAGTAGTCAAGTTATCGATTCTCTAAACATATCAGATACGTCTAGTTTTTTCACAGTTATTTTAGAAAACAATAGTGATTCTGGCCATATTTTGCAGTCCAGCGCAATCAAACATGCGAGTTAATGCCCGCAGACTAAAATTTCATAATTTAATGTTAATCAGATCACTTTGTTATATATATTTATCTGTAATATTTCATTTGTTTTTGATGTTTTTCTTGTATTGCATGTGTATCTACATCCTATTATTAATAAAATGATGTATAGAATGCATTTGGTGTGTGTGTGTCTCATTGCATGAGTTGTCGTCCGGTAGTCGAGCATGCTACTGGTTTACGTCCACTGTGTGTCTTTAACTGTAAATAAATCGACATACGACATACAAATTATGCATTCTGAAATGTCATTGCCATTCTCTGAATGGAAAATTCTCTAAATTAGAAATGTTCATAAAGATATGAAAGCTACATGTGAAAAATTTGTTCTCACAGCTATTCTCTATTGATTGCACAGCACATTGTGTAAAACAATAATCAATCATTTATTAATTGAGAAATTTAAATAGGTTTTGTTCAGATCGGGCTAATTTTTAGATATTTATTAAAGTAGCTTTGTTACAAACCTAAACACACAGCAAAAATAATATCAAAGAATACACCTGGGACTATTGAGTCAGTATGAAGTAATAAAGACTCAGTTCACAATGAGCAAAGGCATTTTTATTTTCGTAATTTTTTTTGGCTAGCATTTTGTTAATTTGTTATAAAATGCTTATAATAAGCAGGAGGATTTGTATTACATGAAATGTTAATGTGTGTATAAATTTAAAGAAAAATATATGAAGTATTTAACTGCAACCAATAAAGGAAAGGAATATCGGCTACTATAAGAAAGTTATGTTGCCAACAATGACCAAAATTCTCTGCATGCAATATACACATTATTGTTAAATAGAGTCAATTTATTTCAGATATTAGATCATTACAATACAGTAGAGCAGGGGTGGCCAAACTTGGCGCATTGGACGATTACAAGTGGCGCTTTAGTCAGTTCTGAGCAACATTGCCAGATTTGGCTTCTTTGCAATTAAGAATATTACATAGAAAATTAATTTTTTATAGTCTGTCTTGGCAAGTTCATTTGTTGCACAATTCGTTGCAATCAACTTTACAGATAAAATGAGTGTTCTCCACATAGTAAATTACAGTGTATGCATGTATGTTTATTTTCGATCAGTGCATAGGCGTCTAAATGACAGTGCTACCGTCCGGACAGTCCACGAGTCGGTTGGACTGCTACACCTGTTGACCTTTTTTTTTTTTTTTTTTTTGCTTCTACGATTCACGATACATTCGCAATCGTGTATGCCACTAATGTCAAACGGGACTATTTTGTAAAGGTAACTACACCACCACCGCATTTTTTATTAATTTTTTTTTCACACAACTGAATTTTGATCTTTTAAATTGAAATACCTGATTAAAGGGTGGCCGAAATTTTTCTCCGCCCCGGGCGGCTAACACCCACGGTACGCCACTGCGCATCTGAACTCGTCTATCAAAAAATTGGCGCATGGTATGCAAAAGGTTGGCCACCCCTGCAGTAGAGCATCGGTTAACCGACCGCGTTCTAGTCAGCAAATTCAAATGTCCGCTAGTGATGTGGCGCTATAATATTTGGCTATGTCTTGGCTACTTTCATATTATTTTTACATGTTTTAGCTGGCAACACTGGCTCGACCATGAAAGGAGCCAGTATTTTAATGAGGCTTAATTTTCTAATTTTAAACGATACAATAGCAATGATTATTATTTTAAAAAATTTTTGTTAGGCTTAACATTGATGAAAATTCAATGCAAAGTAGGTTAATAGCAATATACTATTATACTAATTACATGGGATATACTAATATACTATACTAATAATGTATTTTTTCATATTTTCCGGTTATCCATTTTTTCAGTTATCCGACCAACCCCAGTCGAGTCGGATAATCGATGCTCTACTGTACATTGTTTACAGGGGGATTTAAAACTTTATTCTGCTGCCTGAGGCAGATACATGATTGTTGATGCATTTGAAATACCTATTTTATGTCACTATTAAATGTGGTGTATTTGTTTATGGATGAATTTAAACAGCTCTAATGATCTGTATTTCTGACCAACAATGTTACTCACTCAAAATTGTCTGATTACTTCAAAACTTGGTGTAAGTAAATGGTTACAGTTGGAGTCCAATTCCCAAGTTATGCCACCACAGTGCCCTAAAATTATTAGCCCATCATCCTATAAAAGGATTGCAATGGTATGCTGTGTAATTGTGCTGTGTTTGGAGTTCTTCAAATGACAGTCATGCATGTGTGACAGAGTTTTGGAAAGACCACCATTGCCAGGCCAAAAAAAGTGGGGTGGCTGCTTTGCCAAATTCCTGGCCATTCTGATGAGTTGGTGTTTGGAGCGGTGAATATGCTACAGGACACATCACCAGAAGAATTGAGATACAAACCCTTAGAATATTGTCTGCTTTTCTCCACCATTCAGAGAAGGGTGGAAGTCTTAAGAATCATCTCTTCCTTTAGTCTTTGCTAGTCACTTGTCAATCATAATTTGTATCATGGTGACTGCTATGCATTCTGCCATTAGCACTCCAATACCACTGGTTTTGTTTGCCATAGTGCCATGGCAGAGAAATTACAAACTGTTGTGGATAAGCAGTACATCATTACTGCTGTTTGTATCATTTCTATCCTACCAAATTAATGAGGATGATTGTCTGAGAAATTTAACAGATTTATTTTTCAGATCTTCACTCACATAAATGAGTGCTGTTGGTGGCAAAGTATTTTGAGCAGTGAAGAAGAATGAAGTTTGTGACCTTCAAGTATTTTAAATACAATTTTTGGGATAGCATTTGCTGTAAATCAATGATTTCCAATTGTAAACATTACCTCTTCTACATATGTTTAAAAGGGATTTTAGAAAAAGCAAACATTATGCCTCATGTCTTTAAAAATTGACAAAAATTTCCATATTATTATTATTTTTTTTTTTTGCCATGAGATTCCTGATGCAATCTTTTATGAGAACAGATGACTTGAATAAAATTAACAAAACACATTCCAAATGTTTCTTTCGAATGCTGCTCTAAGTCCACTGCCAAGTTATTCCGTTCATCTTGATTGTACAAGCCAAATGGCTGATATCTGCAAATAACTTTATTGGGATGTGCTTCCTCAGCCATTGTAAGAATTAATGTTTTTACAAATTTTACCACTTTTCAGCTATTAATTTGGCAACCTTATAGCTAACACTACTGCCAGTTTGGCTTCAAATGTTTTAAGAACACAGTCCCGACTTCAGATTCTTAATATTCTGAGTATGCCCCTTTCCTTTTGATAACCAAAAATAGCTAATATAATTTATCTTCTCTAAACTGAGTGAAAAGTATTTTGATATGTAAAAAACAAAGAACAATATGCAGTTACAGGAAATTCAAGGGACAAAATAATCACCAAATTACGAGATATCTGTACAGTATATGAAATGCCATGTAACTGATATAATTTATTAAGAAAATGGAACACAGCTTTGTATACAGAATGCTACTTTAATTAATTAATTAATAATAATAATAATAATAAAAACAGTACGTCTGAAGGTTTTATAAAAAGTAAAGCAAAATTCTCGAAACATTGCCCAAATATAGTAGCATAGAGCCCTACAAACATCTCAATCTGCTTACTTCTAGCCCAAAACCCGGCCGTACTTTGAGTAAAAGGATAGTCCATGGATAAGGTGACACCTGTAAAATTGTTGACCACTCGAGTAGAGTTGTTCTTAGTCTATCATTCTCTTCTGGCGGCACAAGAACTTTGATCTAAACATAAGAATTAATATATGCATGTCACAGTTTGGACAGAATTTTTACTTCTAATTTCAAATTAACTGAATTCCTTAACATATAACCTCAATACCTCCGGCTGGGACAAATAGTACAGTTTTAAATACAGGAAATCTTTGTTAATTTGTAAGTGAAACCATTTCTCATGTAAAATATTAGAAATATAATGCAAATACATCTCAATAATCTAAACGTTTTAGGCAATCATTATTTATGGTTCCAGCTCCTGTGGAGTTTTGAATCTGTAAAATCCATTATTATTAGAGAAATTTATTTTTAAATAATGTATTAATTTTCAGCTGATTCGATTTTCATCAGAATCAAATATTCTCATTCAATATGACAAAAAACCGTGTTGTTTCAACTGTTTATATCTTGCTGTTAGATTTCAAGAGTAAAACATTTTGCATAACATCCCTTACAAGTACAGTACACTGTTATATATATATATATATATATATATATTTGCATTTTTTATGAGAGAAGTCCCTAAATGAAAAATTGGCATGCATTTCCTAGTGTTGAAACTAGAAATGAATAATCAATGAAACTTTCAAGAAGTGAGCCACAGGTTGCAAATTCTAGTTCTTCCTGGGAATATACCTTCTTAGAATGTGGAGATCTATAGGCAAACACTTTGATTCCATTCTTACTATTGAGTGGCAAGTTGCTCCCACTGTTGATGTACTGGTCTAGGTAGCCATCTCTTATGACAGTTGGTCATCTCTAGTAGTGATGGGATGGCACATGGTACATTCAAGAATTCCCAAATACTCTCATCTTTACCAGAGGATTGTAAATGGCTGTTTTATGGTTGCATGGTTGAGTGTCCCAGAAATATCTTGATTATGTCATTGGAATACTGTCTTGCTGTTTGTCATCGAAGCATGTGAGATCTAGAGAACAGTTGCAAAATTTGTCACTATAGTATTCAGGCAAGAACAGTTCTTTTAAATTGTACCATTCTTCTACAGGAATTGTCTTTTATTACCATAGCAAAGTTCCATTTGATTCAATGGGTATATTATGATATTCCTATGTATGCTGAGTTATTTTAAATTTCAAAATCTGTAGCAAAAACAAATAGATTAATTTTAAAGTAATCTCATTTTTGAAAAAATTATTTTAATTTGTTTGTTAAGCCCTGATATTTTGCATTTATGTTAGAGAAAATTTATGCATCATTTATAATTTGACTAGTGTGTATTACATCATATATTAACAGTATAGTGGCTTTGATACATGAACACACTTAACATAATTGTCACATGTTGCAAATTCTTTGATGTTGTAGTGATAGCATGTTTCAAATCTATGATGCATTTTGTGCTGTGTGATCAATTGAGGGTTTTTCACAGAACATTTAAATTCTTTCTCAAAAGTGTCAATAAGCATGTTATTAATGTTATTACAATATATATGATGTTCCTAATCATTATTTATGTTTTTAGTTGCATAAAAAAAGACAATTGAGAATTAAATTACAGTTTGTCCTATTTAATTTTATTCCCTTTCATAGATACTGGGTTAAGGTATGTCGAGCCGTAAAGTTAAACTGTCAGAGGCATATTTTCTGTTTCGTGGACGAATTCTCCGACCGAACAAACATAAAAGTATGACCATGCTCTATGATAATTTGACATGCGTGACAAGTGGCCCCCGTACCTAAGGAATGAACAACTGAAGACTACTGTTTGATACCAAAGCCTTATGTGCCCTCTAATCATCACATTAATAATAATAATAATAATAATATCTATATCTCTCTTTCTCTCCAGTTATTCAACGATTCAAGAAATAAGCTATGCAGTGGGACTGCCACAAGAATGTTGCTGCAAACAAATACAGACACAATTCTCAGACTACAATAATTCTGTAAAGCTATAAATTTTCATCGAAGCAGGATGCTTTCTTAACATTTGTAGACCGTATTTGAGATTTTTATAATGAATTATATTATTGTACATGGTTATAATGGTTACGTGACAATGTGGATGGTCAAAATACCCAGCGGTTAATCACTTTACGGTCTGTTGAAAGAATTATTTTTTGCCAGTGCCTTTCATTTTGTTTGCTTTGTATTATCAAGCACGAATCCCATTTACGTTACACCTGGACTGAATGTATGATGCATTTTGACTGCCATCACTCAGCTTATCCATTTACTAAATAAAAGAAAGAAAGTATTGTAATTAACCTGCCGCATTCCCTACGTACCAAATGCTTCCCAGAATTTGACCCGTCATGTTGAGAGTTACAAGAAATCTGCGGGTTACTTTTTGATCTATCTTTGTTAGGTTGAAAAAAATAGTGAATTACTACTGTTAAAGATTTATTATTTTTATTGTTAGAGATAGGGCAAATCAAAGGAAGATTTGCATTTTCCCTTTTTCCAAATGATGTGTGCTAAGAAGGAAGTGGATAGCTTTTCTGTTTTTGTATTAAATTATACATAAACTGACATGTTACGTTTAGGAAGTGATCTCAATGGATTTTTATAAAATGTTGCTCAAACTTGTAAATGAAATTTTACAAATACAAAGAAGAAAATTTGTTTTAAGTAAGTACACTTGTTTACAAAGGTACAAAACTAAAGTTTCTTTCACTCCCGAACATTTTGGAAAACAAAATTAATATTTTTATAAATAATTTCAAGCTTTTAATTGCCTTATTGAATGATTTATACTTGTCATTATCAACCCAGATCTTCGAGGAGGGGACAAGAGAAGAAAATAATAATAATAAATCAATTTTTTTGGATTAAGAATCCCCTTTGCACAAAACATTCTCTTTTCTTTTATATAATATATAAGTATACGGGATTTTAATAATTACTAAAAATGCTCAAAAGATTTGTTGTATTGAATCTCAATCCAACTTTTTACACTTAAAAGAAAAAACACATGATATCGGTAACGATAACAGTACTCTTACCTTGGTGCTGAGATATATGTTGATTTCATTATTTATAACTTGTATCAAATGTACATTTTTTGTACAATGTCAAATACATGTTGTTTTATGACCAAGTCATGAAAATAAAAAAATTTCATTACTACAATTGTTTGGCGTTGTGTTAAAGAATATAACCGATCCACTGTACTTTTGTCGACATATTTTTAATAAAATTTTATAAAAACCGGTTTAAAATATATACACGTGATTCATTTGAATAATTTATCCACAAGAGGACCAAGAATTTTAATTAGCGGTCTATCAAAAATCGAGGTCTGGATGTGCCCTTGGCTACTTGTGACGAGAGAAGAAGCCGGTGAAAGGGGGCTTTTCCTTAAATAACGATTCATGGTTAGGGTCATGGAACTCTAGCGAAAGTAAGATAATATATATGCATTTAAATCTTAACAGACACAAGATCTTAAGAATAGTAACTAACTATGCATTACCAGTTCTGCGCCCAATTCCCTCCTGATATACTGTTTATCGTGTATGCTAATGTTCGGATGTACGAGGCATAAAACTGCTTGCGATAACAGCAATGATAAACTGATTTCCAATATATACAATAGTAAACGCCTAGAATGGAAAAATAAAAGTAAGCTGTATGTATATAACAATATCTAAAGTTGTTTGGGTTGGAGCTTGTCAGGGCAAACTTAGTTTCAACCCACAAGTAACTTTAAGATAACATTGTACCTTTCTTCCTGCGAAGTCTTTTCAAAATGGATCTGATCTGCAGACGGCGATGGAGACGAAGATGACGGATCATTCTGTAAAGCAATGTCGGAATATTCAGTTTCTTTGGTTTAACATTTGATTATTTTAAAGCTTACATTATTGCATTACCTTTGTAAGTGAACGTAAACAAATGTTAATACAGTTCATTACAGTTCCAAAATTCATCTGACTCTCTTGATCAATGGATGGTATACTAAAATTTATAGGTAATAATATCGTCCATTTTCCAAAATCTAAATCCTAAAGTTGAGATTATTTAGTTTTGAAACTAATAATTATAAAATGGATAAAAATTGTCTATAAAAATAATTACGTGATCAAATATAACTTGATACAGACTTGGGCTGATATTGTGCATTATTGACAAGTTTATTGCTAACAATTTCAGCAATCTAGGTTAAAAAAAATGAGAATAAATTAAACAAACTTCGATAGAATCAATTGGAATTATAAATCTATACCTTGTCTGAACTTGAACAAATTGTGGTGACAATTTCTCCACTTCTTCCATCGATGATAGCCTTTTGTATCTGCGAACATCTGCTATGTTTAACATATTTTGTTCTTTACTCGATGGAACTTTACTATGCTGTGCAAACATTCAAAGTTTAAATTTTCTATCTAATATATAAATCCTAAAACATTAAGAGTCATTTTACCTCTAACAAATACATGAGTAAAGATGGACGATTCAGATAAGCGACCGTAACATGGCAAGACTCGCTAATGCCTTTCTGCAAAAATTACACAAGCATAAGAAACTATGAACAAAATCTACATAGAATTTATTTACAATATTTACCAATAATAAATTTAATGAAATAGGATGATGCAGCTGCCATATTTGTTGATAAAATGACATCTGATAAATGGCTTTGCAAGTTGTTAACGTTTCTTCTAACATGGGGCTGTGAGGAGCTTGTCTTACATACTGAAGACTCTATTCAAAATACACAAAGAATGAGCAATTTATTTTTATTTTAAATAATAATATTTAGTTACTCACAAAATATAATCTTTCAACATGCACTCCAATAAAGTTAAGTGCATGTTGCAAAAAAGAATGCTTCAGAGTCTGTAGTAGTTCTGTGATTAATCTAATGACTAGATTATAGATGTCCACCCAATTTAAATTAACTTTGGAAATACTTTGAGACACATTTAAAGCAGAATCTTGATCAGTTGTGTAAGTATTTGTGATTAGTAAACACAGTTCTTGCATCATTCCACTGGCACAGATACTTTCCGCAGCCTAAAGAAAGATTTAAATAAAAAATTAAGATTATACCTAGAAATTACAAAAGTTTGCATAATATGCAATTATATCAAATAAATAATGCCAATGCGAATGCCAATTCTAAAGCCAAATCATCAGATATGAAAAATGAACTCTAACACTGAAAAATATCCGTAATTCTGATATAAGTTTGTCTTGGCCATCTTCCTGTTGCTTGTTAAGGCATCAGCCTTCTGATCTGGAGGATTTGGATTCAAATCCGGTTGGGCAAACCCAAGAATTTTTCACAGGCAGATAAGTTGGATGTTAGACTTCATCCCTCAACACCAAGTCACCTTCATTGTGGGTCTGGCTGAACTCATGATGGGAATGATTAAAAAGATATTCTTAGAGCCCACATGCAAGAAAAAGAAAAAACTATAAAACTTAATCCTTACCTAACTCAAGAATAAGTAATTTATAAACTATGGGAAGTTTATTCACTACTGTAGTTTTTGATTCTAATTTAAAGGGATGTTGCAACATATTAATGTATTTATCTGATGCATATCATGATAAATCTTTTAAGTCTGCTTGTCAAGACATTCCCACCTAAGTGATATTGTCTATAGGTGTGTGTGAGGAGCGTTGCTAACATGCAGAGGAAAAGATGTAAGGCTCTTGTTCTGTGTTTTATTCCTTTACTATGAAAACATTTCAGGAAGAGATCAAGGCTAAGCAACATTTTTTGCTTGAATATATCCAACAAACAAGTTTCAATTGGATATTGATTACACAAGGAATGTGTAATTGCATAATATTGAAGACAGTGGTTATAAAATCTCACCTAAATGCAAAATTCAGTATTCAAACGTTTTCAGCAACTTTTTTAGGAGAATATATTCTGTATATTTTTATGAAAGTATTATTTAAACTCCCAGGTCTCGGAGTGCCATTTTCCCTCCAAAAAATGAGAAAAGTGAGTTGAAATACAGAAACAGTGAGTGTAATAGTGACAAAACAAAGTGAAAACATGGAAGGAAATCTCAACAAAATAGCAGTAAAAGTTGTTTTTTTCTCTTTTTATTCTGTTGTTATTAAATACATTTTAAACATTTCTGTATATACTGTAATACAGTAGCCATTCCGTTATATCGCGAATTCGGATATATTGCTTTTTTTTTTTTTTGGTCCTCCAAAATTTTAAAATACCAATTGCCATTGAATTTCTATTTGCAACAAAATACAATATTTCTACCATTGTCCTTGAAACTACCACTGAAGGTGAAACAACAAATTCATCAAGTTCTAAATATGCAAAACAGGTAGATATATCAATTGTCATTTGTTTTAAATAATTGTCTTTTGATATTAAAAATTGCTTATTTGTTAGTTAAATTGCTTATTTATTAGTACCGTCTCCTCATTTACAAGTTTCTGTGAATTCGAAATTTCACACCTTTAAGGTGTGAAATTTCGAATTCATCTCATTATGTGTAAGGAAAAGATTTCTTTAATTCTGAACGGAAAGTTTTTATACAGTAGTAACTTTATTTTGCTTTTTAGAAAATTTTTACTCTCCGTAATTTTATAAATTTTATTGGTTCTATTATATGTTCCATATTTATTTTTAAAAATTTTCAATTACAGCATTTATAATTTTTACTGAAAAACATATTACACTAATTTTTAATACGCGGTATATTGTGAAAATAAATCGCTTATTAAATACTGTAGGGTTTCTCAAATGGGATTCCGGTTGTTTTTTCAACCCGGGAAATATTTCTTATCCCGGAAAATCTGCAAATTTCTTAAAAATTCACTTTTTTTCTTATTTTGTGTTAAGGTTGAGGAATTTTGCAAATAGAAAGTATAATTAACTCATTCACTGTCAGAATACATTTGTATTTATTAATTTTAAACCTACCTATTAGTTTTTTTTATTTAATTTTTGCTCATTATGGCATGTCACAAATGGTCAATAATCAATATATAGTTTATTTGTGGCAGGACTATGAAAATTCTTTATTTGTCAAAACCTGTAATATCTGGAATAATTGTGCTTATGCTGTCTTAATTTTTAACTATGCCCAGTAGCTTCAATAAATGCGTAACGCCAGATTGTGCAAATTGGGCAAGGATACAAATGAGTTTGAAGTCTGCAAGTATGAAGTTTTTCTTCATAAATCTGAATATTAAAGCCAAACGAATTGCCGAATTTTCGAGCTATAAGCTTGATGCCGCTATTAAAGCAGCCGAGGTAGACAAATCGAGAATACTAGAGAGCGAAAGAAGTACTACAATCTCGAAAACGAACTCTAAATCTTCCAGGCTACAGGTGAAAAAACACATATCTGTCTTCTCTTAAATGCATTAAACATGATTCCAATCACATATTGAATCGGAAAGGGCATTCTTGGTAGCAAGACTTTTCATTACTAAAATAAGAATTAGAGTGAGTGATTGGAGTATTGACCATCTTTGCTTTTTAAAATCTTATAATACAAAATATTGTAAACTTTTATATTTTATTTAAAAAACGAAAATTACCTTCTAAGTTAGAAGTTTGATCTAAGTTCATTTTTTTTAATTTTTAACTCAATTCAAAGCATTTTTTTTTTTGTTGTTGTTGTTGTTGTATGCAGTTTCCAGCAAACTTTAATAAATTTTTTTCTATTTGTGAAAATTTCTACGTAATTCAAAGGTAATTTTTATTACCGTATTAGCCCGAATATAACGCGACCCCGAATTTAACGTGACTCCAAAATTTTCATAAAGATATTTAGAAAAAAAATAATACTCATAAAAGAATTCAAAGAAAGTAAAATTCAATCAGATAAGCATTTATTTATGAAATTACAGTAGAGCGTCGTTTATCCGAATCAATTGGGGACCGGGGTGGTTCGGATAACTTATTTTTCGGATAACGAATCATGTACAAAAAAATATATTAATTTATCCCATGTTGAAATTTTTCTCCGTTGCGTGTCACTTTGCGTTGAATTTTCATCGATGTTAAGCCTAACGAAGACTATTGTATCGTTAAAAATTATTTTTTTATTTTGTACAAACAAAATAAATATATTGAAAAATATAAAAACAATAAAAAATTATACTTCAGATGTTAATTTAGTATCAAAAACGTAAAATATTTGAGTAATCCAAGAAATAGCCGAAGATTGCAGCGCCACAGCACTAGCAAAAATTTAAATTTGCTGACTGGAATGCTTTCGGATAACCAGCTTTCCGATAAATGACGCTCTACTGTATAGCTAATAACACAGGCAACCTCTGTAGGAAAATGTCCTTGTTTATATTACATTCCATTACTTCAACCCCGAATTTAGCGCGAGTCGATTTTTTAACGGAAAATAAATGGTCGAAAAATATCGCGTTATATTCAGGCTAATACAGTATATATCTTACACAGCATTATTAATATGATTTTGGAAGTTACAGAATTTTAAAATTACTTTAAAAAATGAAAATTAATTATATCATTTAATGATATTTTGTATACCTTAAAAATAATTACTTCTATCACGGGAAATAGTTCACTTTTATCCTGGAATCCCGGGAAATGAGAAACCCTAAAACACTGTACTGTATAATAAGATCGTAACTGATATTTTGTTTTTATGTTGATAGTATTTGTCTTTACATGTCATTGTTAAAGAAACAATGCTAAATGGGCATTGGTGGTATCAATGTTTATGTAAACGTCAATTAATACGATATAACCAAGAATAAAGTTCAACATTGAAAAACTAAGATTATTTTATATCAAAAACACTTGCTAATGAAAAAATAGAGGATATAGATTGCATAGCATGTATAATCTGTCTAGTATAAGCCCCAGAATTTTTAGTACTCGGTTATATCACACTTTTTTCTTTGTCTCCTGACAAGTGCAATATAACAAGGAGCTACTGTATTTCCATTAAACTGTAAATACATAAAAAGTCTTTGGCATCTGTAAATAATCAGTAATGAAAAATGATGTCCTTTCATTCTGATTATTCTGGATGTTTTCAGCTTCCTTCTTTTTTGGTTCCTCTTGCTTTTGAACACTTTTAACACTAAAAGCATTACATGTGCTGCCTGTACTTCATTCATGTTCTTGCTGTTAATGACCTTCTCCAGTTTTTTTTGTTTGCTGCTTTTAACAAAACTTGGCCTGTCACATGTATTTCACTTTCTTCTACTTTTTTCTGGTTTAAACACTCTTTCCGACATTGATGATCTAGAAGGAGAAAGTACGTGGCATAAAATTGAAAATCCCCGTTCCACATCTGCATTGCCATGAAAGAGGGTCAACGCTGATTTCACTAATTTGGCTAAACTGGGACATCTACCATGATCAGAAATTGTGTATCTTTTGATGCTTCGAGACGTGTAAATATTGATTTCAAAATAAATTAATAAATCTGAAATAAACAGATTTCAAATAGTATAAGTAAAATAATATTTTATTAATGATTTCATAAATAACAAAGAACTTTTTCCTGCAGATGAATAAATAGCAACATCATTACAACATTGTTAACCTTTTGGGAAGTGTGTGAAAATTTTTCCAGTAAGCAATCACGTGTTGTACTTTTTACAACACTTAAAATTTACCAAATAAATTAAAAGATTCCATGTGTAAATATGAATTTACATTTTCGTTTACTTTTTTAGTCTCAATTAATGCACACTTATAATCAGCACAAGAGAAGAAATTAAAAAAATTTCTGGCATTCATGCTGGAGAAAAATTCATTGGCATTCAAGAAATTATTCAATGGCATTCAAGAAAAATTATAATGTATAAGACAATGTGATGTCTACAGACCATCGCTTTGCAAAAAATGAATCTGAACTACCTGGGCTATTCCACAAACAAACAAAATTGATCCAGAACCAAATAAAGGTTTTGAACCTTTATTTGTTCTGGTAAAATAGAATAAATCAAAAGTGACTCTTGTTTCCGAACAACCTTTATCAGTCGAAACTACAGAAAAGTTTGATATATATTTCTCATAATTTGAATCCTTTAAAATCATAATTTTTCCTCTTTGGTCAATAAAATAAATAGCTTTAGATCAGGAGTTTGTAAATCACATTAATGTGCTTCTAATTAGCCTTTAATAAGCCTTTCTAAGACTCTGAAGAAATTAATTCTTCAGAGACTTAGAGAAAAATCTCAAATTGAGAGTATGTAAATTTGTCTTCTAATATGCTTTTTGTATAAAGCTTGGTTTATTAAAATACCAAATGATCTTAATTAAATATCTCTATTCAACATTATCTAGAGAAAGATTTAGCAGTTGAAATGCAACTAAATCTATACATTTTAGAATATGCAGAACACATTTCCATACAAAGCAATCTGTACCAAAACTTATCATTTCTAGCATTGCAAGCAACAAAAAGAGAGTTTCCTTTGCTGTCAAGTTTTGGGTATAAAAGAGGCCACAAATGTCAAATGTCATTCTTATCGATTACAATGGCCATCACTTCACCAAAAAGTACATTACTTGTTAAGTTGTTTGATAAAAACAATGGCAATGTTGTGGCTGCAATTTGGGAATATTAATGTGAACTTCAAGGAGTTAGAATGGTCACATCATACCCATCACTTCATGAGGTGATAATACTACAGCTAGTTTTGAACAGTCACATACAGTTTCAGAATGGAGACCACATTGAGCAGTATCCTCCACATTGCTAAGCCTTTATTTATACAAAATGCTGTGCAGTGTTAAAATGCCATAGTGGTGAATTTTAGTACTATATTTTTTATGGAAATGTCATTATACCAGATTTGGTTCCATTTGAACTGCTAAACATCTCTTTAGACAATATGGAATTGGAGTATTTTAAAGGGCATATAAAAAAATTGATTCAATAAATTCACTTACTTTGTTGTTAGATGCTAATGATAAGAAGAAAATTAACACTGTCTGGATGATGCCAATACCTTTGTGTACCTAGAATCACAAAATTTTGTTAGCATGCTTTTCTTCTGAAATTAAGTATTATTGAGTCTTAAGATACTAACTTCTAATGCCAACAGTAGTATTCCTCCTAATGTATTTAGTATTGCGTAATTCTGCATATTACGTAAACAGTTACTTGAAAATTGGCAATATTCGTTGAGATCTTTCAACAAACAAATTGTTGCAGTGCATAACTAAGACAAAAATATCTTATGTTAATGATATATTTTCTATAAGTAGTATTATGTTTGATCAGAAATACGTCACCTGCATGTACTGTGACATCTCTCCCTTTATTATTTCTTTTTCTGCATATATAGTAGAATGTTTCAGCATGATACAGACAGACGTAACCCAACTGGGAATGAATTCATTGAGTAATTCTGAAACAGAAAAAAATCTAGTTTTATCTTAATTTGATTCAATATTAAAATTGGAAATATGGTAATACCATTATTGTCAGAATCCTTTGTCATTTTTTTCAGGCTAGTGTTGGCTATGCAGACAATAGTCAGCTGGATGTGAGGATGAAGCAAATCTGTATTCATCGCTACATTATGTATCAGTTCTGTAAGAAAACCAAGCCACTTCTTCCTTGTTGGAAAAGTCTCACTAAACAAAGAAACATAAGGCTTGCAGACAACTTATTTTATCTTAAAACACAATAAAACTTTGCACAGAAATCTTACCAGTTCCATTTCTGCAAGAGTAAAAGGTAAAGTTCAGCCAGCAGAACTAATGATTTAGTGTTCGTAGTGTCCAACAACTAGCAAACATAATAATCTTTAAAATTCTACTTGTGGAACAGTAATCTGGTTTTGAAAAATAAAATAATATTCACCTCAAATTTCAAACTCTCGAGAATATCTTCCATGATAGAAATTTTATTATTTTCACTTATCTTCAAATCCCCTTGAAAAAACTAAAAGATACATGACAATATTATTAGTTAAAGTCTAATATTTTATTTTAAAATTATTGAAAAAATTTGTTCAATAAACTTAAAAGGCATTTATTTTTTCTAAATTTTATAAATTTTGTTTGTATTTTCATCTAACAATGTAAGTTTCACAAAATGAAACTGAACATATCTATGCCAGATATTATATAATGGCTGGCCAAATCTCATCACAACAAAAACCATATATCACCTAACGGAAATACAAGAGTTGCATTTTTACATAGTGGACATATTATGTAAAATCCACATAGGCCATATGGTAGCACATGGGATCAAATATGGGAGGTCAAAAAACCATAGAAATTTTTATGAGTGGTCTGTTTTGAATATATTAGATGCTACCCCTCACCAGCTGTTTGTTCCCATTGTGGGCAGAATTTAAAAAAAGCTCTTTATTGTCCACAAGGTCAGAAAAACATTAATGATATCACACTCAATTCAGAGAATGTGTAAATAATAGTCAAGGAAAAAAAAAATGAATTATTTCTACTGTTTAAAATAAATCAAGTTTTTCATTAAAAAAGAAATAAATTTCGTGTCTGTAGTTGGCAGTGAACTTCTAGAACACAATACTGAGACAGTAAACTCCCAATATTGAATTTCAGAAAAAAAAAAATTAATAATAATAATAATAACTCTCCCGTGGTCATCACCTGGTCGTGGTGGGAGAGCCCAGTAATTTTACTGAACCATAGAGCAATGCAGGCTGGAGCACAAGCTCCTGGTAGGGACACCCATGCCAGTAAGGTCTATGGGGAGAAATGAAGCTAAGAGTGACCACACACCCACATTCTGTGGAGATAATCATTATGGTAGTAACCAGATCTAAGTATGATACCGGCTCGGACGTCGCCCGGGTTAACAAGGTCCGCGTTCGTGGGTTAGGCAGAGGCTCATGTTCGAAAAATAGGCTCCAGTCTCCCTTGGTTACCGGTGGCAAAAGCAGTACCGGCCCAAGCATGGCTACTGCAATGCCCTCAACAGATGTGAGGAACCAACCTAGCCTTGGTGTTTCTGTGGCAATGCACCCACAGACCACAAAGGCTGGAAAACCTCTCCAATGGATGAAATGGACATCAGAAATGAATGAGTTTATCATCCGTACTTACTACGCAATCACAAAACTCGAAACAAACATGACAGCATACAGACAACAACTACACCATAGATTCACACAACAATATCCTCACCTCACTGTCATCGAACAAAGGATTGTTGATCAAAAAAGAACAATTATACACAACCTTATCCCACAAACAACACTTGAACTTATCGAACAACAGGTTGCTGATCAAATACATCAACAGACAGAAACATTTAACAATAATGAAGATCACATAATCTGTTAGGATAATCCAGCAACAAGCATTGATAATAACATGCATACAACAACTACAACTAATGATACTACAGGCACTTCCTCATCCATCACTGATAACGTAGATATAGATTTTGTTAATACACTCTCACTTATATTTCAGGAAACACTCACTAAATATACAGGCACAGATCCCACACAAAGACCACGAATACCGAAAATCAACATGTCAAAGGTAGTAGGAAAAACACTAAATTATGTAAACACTCACTTACTACCAAACTACATTCATTCAATTTCTACACTCTCAGACATTCATACATTAGTTTATGCTGGGGCAGTCACAGTAGTAACACACCATGGACTGAAAATACAATCACAGACAAACATACAGAAAACACAATTCTATCACAAGCCTGCCTGGCAGAGACAAATAGAAACACAAATAAATGACATTAGACAGCAATTAGGCAGGTTGACACAATACACTAAAAACAGCATAACACCCAAATTAAAAAAACAACTCAAAAACATTTTCAAGAAAATCAAAACACACACAAAACATGAACATCTCAACAAACACGTTACAGAATACATTGATACACTAAAACAAAAACTCGCAGCCAAAGCACGTAGACTCAAACGATACAAAACATATACACTACGAAAACAACAAAATAAATTATTCACAAACAACGAAAAACTTTTCTACAGACAAATCAGTACCAAAACAAACACTGATACACAGCATAGTGGCACACCAACAGAAGAAGAACTCACAACTTATTGGTCTTCTCTTTGTTTCAATGCTGTTACACACAATGCTGATGCAGGCTGGATCGAGGAGGAGAACAGAAACTTGCACAACATACCAACTATGCCCTGTGCTGAAATAAACGTACACGACATCTGCCACACTGTTAACAGAACCCACAACTGGAAGACACCTGGTGTAGACAACATTCACAATTTCTGGTACAAAAAGTTTACATCACTGCACCAGGAACTAGCTAAACATCTAACACACATCATCATCAATCCACAAGACATGCCAAAATTTCTTACTCAGGGCATCACCTACATGAAACCTAAAAACAACAAAACCACAGACCCCACACAATACAGACCAATTACATGTCTTCCAACACTCTACAAATTATTGACATCCTGTATCACAAACAAAATATACAAACATGTTGAAGAACACGACATTCTTACAGAACAACAAAAAGGTTGCCGTAGAAATCACAGGGGATGCAAAGAACAGTTACTCATAGATTCAGTCATTCTACGGCAAGCACACAAACAACACAGAAACATACACATGGCATATATAGACTACAGAAAAGCATTCGACAGTGTTCCACACAGTTGGCTGCTACATATTCTACACATGTACAAAATACATCCATCACTCATTGCATTCTTCGAAAACACTATGCAGCACTGGAGAACAACACTACATCTCAGGGTTAGTAACACTTCCATACAAACAAACGAAATATTCATTAGGCGAGGAATTTTTCAAGGAGATTCCTTGAGTCCTCTCTGGTTCTGCCTAGCCCTGAATCCATTATCCAACATGTTAAACAACACGCATTATGGCTACAATATCAGACATGAAAAAACAACACAGTTTACACTGTCACATCTCATGTACATGGACGACATAAAACTTTATGCATCCACACAAAAACAACTTCATCAACTCCTACAAATCACACATTCATACACTAAGGACATACAAATGGAGTTTGGCCTAGACAAATGCAAAAAACTTCACATAGAAAAAGGAATCCTGAAGAAAGAAGATTTTGCACTTGGAAATGGAGACGTTATTGAATCCATGGAAGAGGGCGAGTTCTACAAGTACTTAGGATTCCAACAGGCCAAACTAACAGAACATACACAAATAAAGCAACGATTAATTAAAGAATACCAAAGTAGGTTAAACGCTATACTTAGAACACAGTTAAATGCAAAACACACAGTTAAAGCAATAAACACATATGTCATCCCAGTACTCACAACATACTCTTTTGGAGTTATACATTGGACTCACACAGATCTTGAGCAACTCCAAAGGAAAACAAGAACACTTACTAAGCATAAACAACATCATCCTAAATCTGTCATAGAAAGATTAACCCTTCCACGTAAAGAAGGCGGACGTGGCCTGATTGACATAGTTAACCTTCACTACAAACAAATACAGTCACTGCGAGAGTTTTTCTACAGGAAACAAGAAACATCACAATTATATAAAGTAGTAACTCTACAGACTCAACACACCATTAAACTTACACTCACATCATACAGACTTCACACAACATATAAAAAGCATAGACACCATTAAGCAATCGTGGGCTCGAAAGGCACTCCATGGCAGGCATCCTTATGATCTGGCCCAGGATTTTGTTGACAAAACTACATCAAACAGCTAGTTAGATCGGGGATGCCTCTTTGGAGATGGAAGGATTCATGATTGCCATACAGGATCAGGTCATAAATAGTAAAAACTACAGAAAACACATACTCAAAGATACAACACATCACTTCTGGTTGCAAGCTCTTGGCACAGACAGATTATTTACACAGACATAGTCAAGTAGCAAATATAATACACCAAGAGCTTGCAAACAAACACAAATTATTAGACATCCACGAACCATACTACAAATACATTCCACAGACAGTATTGGAAAACAACATGCACAAACTGTACTACGACAGAGCCATAATTACAGATAAAACAATTTATCACAACAGGCCAGAAATCACACTCATTGATAAACACAATAAAATCACATACATTATAGACATAGCTATTCCAAACACTCACAATGTACAAAATACATGCATAGAACTCGCCCAGGAAATAAGACATCTGTGAAAGATGGAAGGGGTGCTTATTGTACCTGTCGTTCTCTCTTGTACAGGTATGATACCACACACACTACACAAAAGCCTGGGAACATTACAATTGAATAGAAATACATACAATACATAATATTGTTTTGTATGTATAACATAACATTACAATTGAATAGAAATACATACAATACATAACATTACAATTGAATAGAAATACATACATACAAATACATAACACTACAGAAGGCCACTATATTGAATACAAGCCCTATTGTTAGGAAATTCCTGAATACTGACACTGACAAACTTATTTAATTTTTGTTTATGGTTGTTATGCCTTGACTCTGGTCCGGCATAATATACAGCCATCGGTGTCAACCGAGTATAACCCACTAAACCCAACATAATAATAATAATGGAAAAATTAAAAAGAAATACCAGTGACAATGTTCAATATAATGAGATCAAATAATTTTTATAACACAAAGAGTGATCTCAATAAGATTGTGATAAATGCAAGAGTGATATATAAGGCCATCAAGAAGGAAACTGAGGACTTTTCCCTGGAATCTCAGAAAACTTATGGACCCACAGTGATTCCTTCCTCTATAAAATTAATGTCATTTTGGCTAAACAAATTAATAAAATCTTTAAGACTACCATTTTATTAAGAAAGAACATTCTCTATGTATTTCATTTGTTCAAAAAAGATAAAAGAGGCCCACTCTAACACTGAACCCCCACACCCACACTAAACTTTTGACAGCTCCAGCAAAATGTATCACCAATGGATATCAACCACAATTGTGAAATTTGACAACTGTTGGTGATACAAATCAAGAAATAAATTCTGTCTTAAGCCAAAATTTTTAATAATTATTCATTATACCATTTTTCAAATTAGTTTTATCATCATTTAATATAAAAACATACCTTTGTGGCAACTAAGAGAAAATCCTTCCAGCATTTCAAGAGAATATATCTGTCAGGAGTTGACTCGGATAAGAAACTTATATCTAATATATTAATAGAATGATTTGTTTCTGGAGCTAGTTGAGGATTCAAACATTGATGAACAAACTACAAGAAAATTTTTTAAATGATGTAAATAAAAAAATCTGTTATCATAAGTGAAAAATTCTTAATGTAAATTGAAGAGGTCAGTTCAGAAGGGACATAAGTCCATAAAAATAGCTGGGTTTGAGTTATCAGCAATTTCACCCTCTGTGCAAGCATCCCTATCAGTTCAATATGCATCATGCCTAATTGTAAACTGTCATAAGCAATTGAAATACAGTAGAGCGTTGATTTTCCGAAAGTCAATCATCCGAAAGAATTCTAGTCGACAAATTTAACTTTTCGCCAGTGCTGTGGCGCTTCAATCTTTGGCTATGTCTTGGGCTACTCAAATATTTTACGTTTTTGATACTAAATTAACTTCTGAAGTATAATTTTTTTTTTTTTTTTATATTTTTCAATATATTTATTTTGTTTGTACAAAATAAAAAAATAATTTTTAATGATACAATAGTCTTTGTTAGGCTTAACATTGAAGAAAATTCAACGTGAAACAACATGCAATGGATAAAAATTTTAACATCGGATATGTTAAACTATTTTTTCGTACATAAATCGGTTATCCGAAATATCAGTTATACGAACAACCCCAGTCCCCAACTGATTTGGAAAATCGACGCTCTACTGTATATGCATTTGGAATAAAGGTATACATCAATGCATCTCCTATTTCTGTATATTCTTCTTAAATGCTTATGGGAAAGTGGCAGAATAAGAAGGGTACAAGTCCATGATCATATACTATTTGTTGTATAAAAGGTAATGTTTCCAGATTTTCAAGTAGGTAATTCCACCTCCTGTTTAAAAATTCTCCCATTTACCCATATTGAATGTCATTTTTCTTCATACTGCACTTCAGCAGGTAAAAAACTTCCTGAAAATAGTTTCTACTGAATAAATAACTAAGGGTACAAAAGGGAAACTTAAGTTTACTAGATTGTTCCCAAAGGCATTGTTATTGCATTCAAAGCAATGTTTAATCTGAAACTTACATTGATTTTTAGTTCTTTAGAAGAATCACAATGCAATAACTTAAGAAACACATTTTGGATAATAATACATTGAATAAAAGTGTATTAAGATTGAAATTCTTGCATGCAGCATAAGGATATACTGTATGTCCAGAGCTTTATGTGGTCACAACTGCATTGATGTTTGACCTATTGGGTATGTTTTGTTGGACAGAACTCCTGTATGAGAGCTCTGGGACCAGGAAAATTCAATATCAAATGCTTTTTGTATATCTTGAAACACGGGTCCACAGACTTATATCCTTCTCAAACTGACCTCTTCAATTATATTTACAACTATAAAATTATTTAATAAAAGAATTTTACAAACCTTAGATAACTTTATCAGACTTGACTTTACCAATTTTTCTAAAACTCCTTTCACATTCCCATCCAATTTACTACTGAAATATAATTATCAAAGTTAACATTAAAGTTTCTATTTATCTTACATAAAATAAACTTTTTAATGCTAAACAAACAAAACACAAAACATTTTGATGTAAATGAATCTGTAATTCTTTAATGATACATGTTTATGCTTGTATGAAAAAAGACAGACAAATTTTTATGTTGCAAATAGCTGTTTTAACTGTCCATAGATTCAAAGTGCCAAAAGTATCATAGTGGTGAGTTTTGGTACTTTTTTATGGAAATGTCCTTAAATATCACTACACCAAATTTGGTTGCTTTGGACTGATAAATATCTATCTAAAAATATTTGAATAGGGGTACTTTAATTATGATCATCCAGTATATCTAGATCATGGTTTTACAATGGGGTTGATGAAAGTTTGAAAGGAAGACAATGAGAAAATTTGATACACATTGTTTATGCATATACAATATTTTAATATTAAAGCCAAACAATTGCCAAATTATACTGGGCTATATTACTATTACTATTATTATTAATTAAATGCTAAGTCTTAGGTAATCATTTGGCTTTAATATAACTATCAGGTTTGGATTGTTTATATTTGAGTGCGTGTATAAATATAACTGTAAGTAACAAAGTATGGTTATGTCTAAATTAATAAGTTCTGGAAGTGAGAATCAGACAAATGTCCAGGTAGCATAACTGGCAACATAACTGCACAGTAAGCAAGAGTTGTAAGTTTGAGTCTTGCTTTGGGCTGATTCTTTACTTCCAGAACCTTCTAAATTAATTATTAAAATATTAATTTAATTATAATTATTAAATTTAGCAAGCTATGGCACCTAATGCCTGCCTCTAGTGCCTACTTACTTATCACACATTGAGCCTCAATGTGTGATAAGCCCTTAAATATAATACAACATAGTATGGAACCAAATAAAGAATAAGTGGATAACAAGTTAATTATAATAATTTATTTTAAAAATAAACATACAATTTAAAATAAACTTATACAGCAGGACCCCACTTAATGTGGGGGATATATTCCTAGACAACAAAGCACTAAGTGAAACAGCGTTAAACAAAGTCATTTTAACATAGAGTAAATAGGGATAGAGGAACACGCAACCAAAAATCAACAAATTTTACTTTAATTTTAAATTATTTTTATCTTGATTTGTGTAATAATATATGTTAAATAACACACAAACATATGCACACAGAAATGTAAAGTTCATTTTTTTTTATGATGAAGGTCCTGATTTTACTGAAATTCTTGTTCTTTTGTAATAAAGTTGTAAAGTTTCATTTGTCACTTTTTTCTTTCCTTAAGCAAATGTCGGTAGCAGAAGATTGCATCCAAAACGCCTCGTTTTGCTTTTGCACTCCTTTCAAAATCTGGATCATTTGCTACAATTTGATCAATGATTTCGGTTATCTTACCAAACTTTTACTAAAGAAATCTGTAAGAAATTTTTTGGATTCTTCATTTTCAGAATGTCTATTTTCCAGTTCCACATGAATTCCTTATTCTGCCAGTTCTTGAAGATCGTTGTTGGTAAGGCTCTCACCAGAAACATGCAGTAATTCCTCAATATTCTGCTCATCTATAACTCCTAGTCCTGCTATATCAATTAGATTGAATTTGGTCAACCTAACGATATAGTGATAGGCTCGTCTTGTCGAGAATTCTTGGATACCTTCAGCCATAACTTCTTCCACACTTCGTTTGTGCATTTATCAGTTAATTCTTGCCAAGTGAAGTTGCTATTTCTTATGGCATCCCTGATTTTATATTTTTTCCAAAATTGCACCAAACAAACATAGATTTAAAGAAAGCACACCTTTTTGCCACCTTTTGCTGATTGGTTTGTGTTCACAAACAATCATATTATATATGAATCAATGAAATGCCATGATAATTTAAATCAGTGTAAATTTTGAGCTTTTTTTAGGCTTCGAGCAGACCGCATTATATCGAATCAGCATTAAAAAAGGCAGCATTAAGTGGGATCTTACTGTATTATATTATATTATATGAGAGTATTGTTCACAAAAAGATTCATGTAATAATTTATTTCATTTAAGATATACAGTGTGTTTATAATTAAAGTTCCACTTTGAAATGGCCATAAAACAGCGATTCCCAACCTGTGGTACGCGTACCCCTAGGGGTACGCGATAGGTTGTTTAGGGTACAGAAAAAAGTTAGTTATTATGGCAGAAAAAATAATATATTATGTATCACAAACTAATAGTATTAAAAAATTATTAGACAAAAAATGTTCCTTGCAACAATCACAACTTTATTATACATTTTTTCATTTAGTTTTTTTTTTCTTTAATTTAAAGTTACAATATGTAAAATTAACAATACGGTTACTCACTAAATTTCTTAAATGAGGGGTACAATCTAGAGATATGACATGTCACGGGTACGCTAATGAAAAAAGGTTGGGAACCACTGCCATAAAATGAAAACTACTGGACAGAATGTTATCAAACTTGGTAATAGTGTACAGGACATCATGGGATTTTATTTCCCATAAAAAAATAGTTCAAAAACTCACCACCAACAGGAAATGGCATTGTCTGCAATATTGTTAAATGAAATAAGACATGAAGACATTGCTGAAAATGTTTTTAATCAGTTTTAAAACGCATTACAGAGCATGTTCAATTTAGTGTCCACCATTTTTGATTAGCAAGTTACATTGCATTACTATGTTCTCAACAGTAGCTCTTAGCATATCAGAAGGAATTTAACTTGCTTTCAGAAAATGGTGGACACAACATTAAACATGCTTTGTAACACATTTTAGAAACATTTAAAAACATTTTCAACGATGTTTTCAAGTCTTTTTTCGTTTAACAATATTGCAGACAGCACCATTTCCTGTTGGTGGTGAGTTTTTAAACTATTTTTTTGCGGGAAATAAAATCCCATGATGTCCTGTACACTATTACCAAGTTTGATAACATTCTGTCCAGTAATTTTTATTTTATGGCTATTTCAAAGTGGAACTTTAATTATAAACACACTGTACATTAAAATTTTATTATAGTTTATAATTTTATAAAGAAATTATATATACAAAATTTAATAAATCAATTATATAGCAATATAAGACTGACAGTGATCAAAAAATCAAATTGCATTTTGAATCTATTATGAAAGAATTAAGTAACAAAATGTACTCACTCAGCAAACGTATATGTATTGTAAACTTCTAATGCTAAAGTACGGATGATATAAGCTATGAGACGAGGATGCTTATGCTCATGGAAGAGTGGATTACACAGAAATGTCCAAAAATTGTCACTATAAAAAAAGAAAATGTTTACATTTATATCATGGCAACAGAAGGTTCATCAGAAAAGTCATTCAATTGATACTTTACTTTTTCTTTAATTTATCTTCTGCTAATAGTTGATGCCTTGTCCATAAAGCATGGAAAAATTCAACAGCAGCACAATGTAGATCTTCGGGAACATATACAAGTTTCTAAATAGATAACAAATTTATATTTATAACCAGAATCTATTTTAAAATGTAAAATATAAATATTTTACCTCTTGTTTGTCTTTTAAAATTTCCAGAACAGAATGTAAACAGCTGTTTAAATTTCTTTCCTAAAAATAGTAAATATATTATTATGATAATTCTTTTTTCTAACAGAAAAACAAGTATAAATAGAAAGTAAACCTTGTCCGATTTATCTGTGGTTACTGGAATATTTATAAATCTTTCAATCAGACCTGGCTGATGACTAATGCAAACAGTCAAAAATTCTATTATAGCAATCTTGAGTCGTATGTCTTCAGTGGCAGAACTAAGCCGCAAGAGATAATGATCACATATAGCTTCAGCTTCTGTTCCCAAACAAGCCAGCAACGACATTGGAAACTCCTGTAAAATCAAATTCAAAGTAACTAAATGTAGTTTTTTTTTTTAAGGCTGATTAATTAGCTTTTACCTTAGCAAATCTCTTTAATAATTGCACTGCTAAAGTAGCCAAACAAGGACTGTAATGTTGAAAGGCATAATATGCAACAATTAGAGCTACGTGCGGTTTTGTGTAGTGGTGTGTCTGAGAAAATAACACATGTTCCAAAGGAGAAATACCAGTTAATTCATTTTCATTTTCAGCATATTTGTACTTCATAAATAACAGTGTGTTCAAAACTGATAGCGAATAGTGAACCAGAATGATCAGTTCTTGTCCTACACCACCTGAAACACTAATTTAACAAATATATGTATATTTATCAATCTAAATATGATTATAAAAAACATTTAATTTAATGCATTTATGTTTCATAAATTAATAATGGTTAAATAACTCACTGTGCTTGAATTGCTTGTTGTACAGTAGCTTCGCCTGTACACACAATACGAAGTAATGCCTGACTAGGTGCTAAATGCAGTAAACTATAAACACATACAGCTTGGATTCTACAAAAAATAATTATTATTTGAATAATCATTTTATTAAAAAAATAAAATTACAAAAAGATATGTAAACTTACCTTGTTTTTTTCTCTTTTTCATTCTTTTTAATAAGTAGAATTTTATAAAAACTATCTAAACATAACTGTCCTGAAATAAAAGTTATGTAATGAGCATAATTAATAAATGTTACATCACATCAATTTATTATAACAGAAAAGTAAATATTTTTCTTGCCTATTTTTTCTTTAACACCATGTTTAACATAACGCCATTTATGAAATGATGGAAATATGTCTTGCAAAATAAACACTAAACAACCTAAAAATACATTTTCTTCCTCACTGTACTTTTGATAAGACTGTAAGATTAAGATTTATCATTTAACTTTGCATATAAAAACAAATCTGAAGTTCAAAGCTCAAAAATTTACGAATTTCTTAACTGAACTAATATAAATATAAAATTAATTAATCTCTAATTGATTTTTATAAAATTCATATTCAGATGAAATTAAAATCATTTTTAAAATTATAATTTTATTTAGTAAATTAGAAACTTTTTGTTAAAATTAAATGATTCTTTGAATTCAAATGTCTAATTTTTAAGGAAGTATACGCTAAATGGACAATTGCAATGGATATTTATCAATTACTATTATTCTTACAAGACTGTAGTCAATTGAGATGCATTTCTACTAGGGTTTTTCTCTAATGGATCATGGCTGTTTTTTAACCATTTCTTCTCATTCCAGAAAATCCCACAAATTTTTAAAAGTTCACTTTTTTCTTATTTTATATTAATGTTGAGGAAATTTTGCAAATAGAAAGTATAATTAACTCATAAATTGCCAGAATACATTTGTATTTATTAATTTTAAACCTATTTATTTTTAGTTTTTTTTTCAATTTTCCTCGTTATGGCATGTCACAGATTGCCAAAAATCAATATGTAGCCTATTTGTGACAAGACTCTGAAAATTCTTTACTTGCCAAAACCTGTAATATCTTGAATAATTGCGCTGATGCTGTCTTAATTTTTAACCATGACCAGTAGCTTCAATAACTGCATTATGCCAGATTGTACAAATTGGGCAAGGATACAAATGAGTATGATGTATGTATGCAAAATAAAATTTTTCTTCATAAATCTGATTATTAAAGCCAAATGAACTGCCAAATTATCGGGCCATAAGCTTGATGCGGAGCAGCAGAGGTAGACAAATTAAGAACACTAAACAGCAAAAGAAATACTGCAATGCATCTTAAAAAGGAACTAGAAATCTTCAAGGCTACAGGTGAAAAAACACAAACACAAACATCTGTCTTCTCTTAAATGCATTAAAGATGATTCCACCCACATCAATTGAATTGAAAAGAGCATTCTTGGTAGCAGGACTTTTCATTACTAAAATAGGAACCAGATTGAGTGATTGGAGCATTGACCATCTTAGCTTTTTAAAATCTTATTATAAAAATTTACAGTAACATTTTGTATTATGTTTTATTTAAAACACAAAAATTATCTTCTAAGTTAGAAGTTTGATCTAAGTTTATTTTTTTTCTTCAATTCAAAGGCTTTTTGTTGTTGTTGTTGTAAGCAGTTTCCAACAAACTTTAATAAATTTTTTTGTGAAAATTTCTATGTAATTCAAAGGTAATTTTTAATACATATTTTACACAGCATTAGTAATATTATTATTTTGGAGGTTGCAGGATGTATTAAATTACTTAAAAAATTTAAAATAATTACATCATTTGATTTCAAGATTTATTTTATATCTTAAAAATAATTAATTATATCCCAGAATTCTGGGGAAACAGATTGCTTGTCTTGGGATTTTGAGAAAATGGTAAAGGATCAGGAAATGAGAAACCCTAATTTCTATAGTCTTGTAAGAATAGCAGTTATAAAAAATAGTTGTAGATTATTTGTAATAACTCAAATATGGTCTTGTAAAAATAATAGTAATCAAGAAATAATTAAAAATTATCCTGCAATAATCTGTATGCAGAGAATTACTTAATGTTACAATAATAATTTTATTTAATCTTCAGATAATATGATGATGAATAACAAGCATAAAAACTCCAAACAAAATTACTGTTTGGTTAGTGTAATTAACTGAATGCTATCTATTTTGTACAGTTGTAAATAAAAATTGACAAACACGAATATGCAGACATGCAATTTGTATGTATCAATATTGCTTCCAAGATAAATTCTTTCTTAAATTCTTAAATAAGGGGTCATCTTATATTTGAGCGAACACAACTTTAATTTGTTGTTTTCCAGTCTGGTAACAATTTTGATTTTGCAAAACATGAAATTAACAGAAAGCTACTGCCTTCTTACCTTTGCTACTTCATTAAATAATTTCAAGAAAGCCAACAGTAGTGAATATTGTCCCGTAACACATTCTACAGCAACAATCAGTTGTCCCAAAATATTGTTGTTCATATATAGACCACTATAATAATTTAAACTCATAATATTAAATCCATGGAAGACATGTTAAAGCTAAATCCTTAACATTATTTACCTTGCCAGTTTAGGAATGTTTTGCGATGTTTCAACCATGTAGGGTAAGAAATTAATAGATAAACATCTCTGCAAAGTTTCTTCTGGGTTGCTCTTTGCTAAATTTCTTATTATATTTAAACATCTTGTCAGCAAATCAATTGAAGGATTAGGTAATACAGAATATCTGAAATGTATGTTTTATAAAACAAATTTGTTATAGTTCAACAAAGATTGACTTAAGATTAATTTGTAATTACCTTAATAAAACGACATAAAATTCATTGGTAATGTGAACTAATTGAAATCGAGAAGAGGGATCAGATTCTAAGATAGAAAAAGTGAGCTCTGCAATATCCACAATACGTTGTATCGATTGTTGCATGACATAGCCTATATTTCAACAGACAATCAACTTTAAAATTTCTTGAAATAATTCTTATAATGAAAATTAAACTTTTCTTTACCTGCTCCGAGAGATACTTCTTGTAGCTTTGTATGTATTTCGCATAAGCAGATCTGCCAACCATTTATGGTAGTCATCCATCGAACAACTGAATAACCTTTCTTCTCTGAAATAAATAATTCCAAAGAATATTAAATATTCATAAATTATTAACAACAATAAAGAATCTTATAGTTTATAATATATATATATAAATGGACGTGTGTGTCCCTATATTTAACTTTTCAGCCAAAACTACACATTGCACATGAATGGTGTTTGTATGTGGTAGTAGCCCCAAGTCTCCATTCGCGCACTATGCTGGTTGCGTCTCGATAGCTATAAGGGTGAGGGAGATATGGGCTTGAAAGTGGTTGAAAGTGGAAGATTTTCTATTTCGATTTTAAAAATTTTCGAATTCAAATTCAAATTGGTTTGATTATAGAACGATTGTAAATGTTCCAGAAAATTGATCAAATTGAAAATAGTTCGTTTGACTGGATGTAAAAATTCTCTAATTAGTCTGGAAACGGTGGACCTAATTCTTGCATTCTGTAAAAACGGGTAAGATTGGCTATAATGTAATTATCTTAATCTTCACTATCGTTACTTTTTGCCCACAAATAAAAACCCAGCGAAGCGGGTCCTTGCCGCTAGTATATATATATATATATATATATATTTCTGTTCAATGTTCATTTGTTATCCAATTTAGGAGTTCTTTAGTATTAGATTCTTTTGCCTAATATAGTAGTCATATTATGTTGTGCATATAGAGACAAACCAAATGAGCACTATACCAGATGGTGCAATATATCTGATGTATCTATCGTTTAAATACTGGGTCCCTTTCATGGTTGATCCAGTGTTGCCAGCTAAAACACATAAAAATAATATTAAAGTAGCCAAGACATAGCAAATATTGTAGCGCCACATCAATAGCGGACATTTGAAATTTGCCGACTAGGACGGTCGGTTGATAGGGGGTCGGATAATTGAGGCTCTACTGTATCTGAATGAGCGATGTAGTGAGAGCTACTGTATTTATCAGAAATGTTAATAATCATAAGTTCAATTCTATTCATTCATAAAGATGCAGAAAGAAAATATATTAAATATGGTTGTTAATAAAATATTTGAGAGTTTACAGATTTTGTAAAAGCCTGAAAAGGATACTTATAATGTGAAAGATTCAAGCATATCAAAATTTATCTACATCATTTTAACTTCCATTCATAATTAAGTACAAAAGATTTTCAAGTATTAAATAACTTACCAATATTTGGAATATTTGTTAACATGATTCCTTCTGTTTGTGAAGGAATAATAAAGGCATCTGAAAAGTAAAGTATTATTAAATTTCATAAAAGATAATAATTCTGATTTTTTTAAAGTAAATACTAATACAAATCTAAAGTTTTCCTAAATACATATTCATTATTTACACATTCATACATTCACATTCCTTCACTCAATTTAACACTAAACTAAAACTCAGCAATCTTATCAAATCGATCATCAATTTGTATTGTGGCAAACCTTACAAGAAAGTGTAATACACCAAAAAGTCATTGAGATCAGTGGACTCCAATCCTATGGATCATACATCTATTAGAGAATTTTCTTTGTTAAATAAATTTGTGACCCAATTTTAAAAACTCAAGTTTTTCAAATAAGCTGTTACAACTGAATTTTATGTTCTTGTGTTTTTTCAACATTGTGTAACATAGTAAAATCATGGAACCAGAAGAAATTTGTCGTTACATCTAATGTTGCTAAAACTGAGTTCAAAACTGTATTATTTAAAATACTTTAAAACATAAAAAATTCAACCTCCTAATTGGATTTTTAAAAATATATTTTACTGTATAACTAAATTATATAGTAAAATATAGATGAAAAGATTTAGTTATATGGGGTCTTCCAAAATGAACATTATCATTTTAAATTGCTGTAATTAAGTTAATTATTATCTGAAAAGTATGCAACATATACCAATTCATAGAATAACTTTCTTTCTTTTCTCTGTAAAATTTACAAGTTTGAGAATTTTATTACAGCACTTCTAACATCAAAAGGTTTCAATGACAATGGCTTTATTTGTTTAATTTCTTGTTATAGTGCATTTCAGAATGATGTATATTTTCATATCCTCTTTAGTGCAAGTGCTGTATTGAAATTCTCAAACATATCTGTAAAGTTTACAGAGAAAAGGAAGATAGAATTTCAGCACCCCTTATCCACTATCTAAATTTCTTCACCCATCTGCATGCAAATAGATTGTGTAGTACTTCTAGGAAGTGCCATAAATGAAAATGTCAACTCCGTAATACAGAAAACATTTGGTGTTTTGCAGTTTGCAGAAACAGAATCACTCATCATTATACAACATGAATAATCTTTAAGAGCTGCAGAATAGTAGCTCTGTGAGAGAAATGGCAATGGATATGCCATAGCAAATACAGAAAGAATTTAAGTATCAATTGGATGCTGATGATATGTGCCATTTGACATACAGTGCATACATTGAGAAACTGTAATGGGCAAAGTAAAACTTGGACAATTTTCCAATGCTTTAATATACATTACAATGTTCTCATATAATAATTAGCATATGATAAAATTTCCAGGAAGATGATTGTAAATTGACAAAAAATATAAAAGACTACACAATAAAAAAGTCTTCTTGTGTCCTTTCTCATACCTCAGGAAATAACAGTATTGTCGCAGAGTCAATCTTTATTGGGCTGCAATTTGAAAAATATGTAGATCTATAAATTTCCACTGTCATCCATCCATCTTTCCTTAATCTCGACAATGAAGTTAGATAGATGAAAGACAAGACTAGATATAGAAACCTTAGAATCAAGAGGCCTCAATTGACTATATATGAACTTCTGATACTTACCAGAAGTCATGTTATTTCAATTCAAAAATTTTCCCCCAAAAAGTGTTAGATAGATGACCAGCACAACTCAATTACTAAAGGAAAAGTACAATGTACAGGGACAAGACACAGCTAATTTGAGGTGGAGAACATATATTTTAAATGAAATAAATTTTAAAAATATGATTAAAAATTGCAGTCCAGTATTGTGACCATAAAATAATTGCTCATTTTTGTCAATTTACAATTATCATCCTGGCAATTTTATCAATGTATATTATACTTTTTTTTGTGCAATCACCAGATAGAAGTTTTATAATATTTTGCATATTGAGGTGGATGAATAACCTCTAAATAAAGGTCAATTCCACTGTAAGACTGTTATTTCCTGAGGTATGAGAAAGACATAAGACTTTTTTATTGTGTAGTCTTTTAGATTTTTTTTGTCAATAAATAATATAATTACAATGGTAGAATTATTTTTGAAAGATCCTGTATATACCAGTCTAACAGAAACAAGTGTAAAATTTTTAAAATTTTGTCAACCTTTAATAATGAGTGTAAAATAATACTTATAAAAATACAATAATACAATATAAAAATAAAAGTAATATGATTAAAACAAAATTTTACAGATTTCTAAATAGAAAAAATTAATATTTTACAATAATATTCATCTCACCTGTACCATATGGTTTCTTATCTTCTAAAAGTATCCAGGATGACGTTCTTGGAACTACTGACTCCATATTATTTTCCAAATATTCTGTGTATCCCGGTAGTTTTTCAAAAAACTGAATAACCTTTTAAATAAAAATAAGTACTTCTTTTAGTCTCCAAAATCAGTTACAGTCAAGTTCAGATTGTAAGGAGTGAAAAAAATAAAAAATAATCATATCACATTTTTATATTTTTAAGCATTTACTTTATAATAATAAATAAATAAATAATTTAATATATATGCTGCCCACTTCAAATTAGTAGTATCTTGCCCCTGTACGTAATACTTTTTCTGTTAACAGGCCTCAGAGTGCCATTTTTTCCCTCTAAAAAAATGAGTTGAAATACAGAAAACATGGGTAAAAAGTGAGTGACAAAACAAAGTGAAAAATTGGAAGGAAAACTCAGCAAAATAGCAGTAAATGTTCTTTTTTTCTTTTTATTCTGATATGGTTAAATATATTTTAAAAATTTCTGTATATACTGTAATACAGTAGCCACTCATTATATCACGGATTCAGATATATAAAGCTTTTTTGGTCCTCCAAATTTTAAAAGCACTCACGTCAATAAATTTTAAGTTACCAATTACCATTGAATTTCTATTTGCAATAAAATTCAGTATATTATTTCCACCATTGTCCTTGAAACTACCACTGAAGATGAAACAATAAATTCATCAAGATCTAAATATGCAAAATAGATGGGCATATCAATTGTCATTTGTTTCCTTTTGACATTAAAAATTGTTTATTTATTGGTGTTAAATACCCTCTCCTCATTTACAAGTTTCTGTGAATTCAAAACTTCACACATTTATGCGAATTGACATATTACTGTCAATTCACATAAATGTGTGAAATTTCAAGTCACCACATAATGTGTAAGGAAAAGATTTCTTTAATTCTGAAGGGAAAGTTTTTATACAGTAGTAACTTTATTTTGCTTTTCAGAGAATTTTTACTCTCTGTAATTTTATAAGTTTTGATGTTTTATTATATGTTCCATATTTATTTTTTAAAATTTTCAATTACAGCATTTATAATTTTTATTGAAAAACATAAATAGCATGAATTTTTAAACAGTGATTTATTGTGAAATATAGTGCTGTATAATAAAATTGTAACTGATATTTTGTTTTTATATCGATAGTATTTGTCTTTACATGTCATTGTTAAAGAAACAATGCTAAATAGGCATTGGTGGTATATGTTTAAGTAAACGTCAATTAATAAGATATAACCAAGAATAAAGTTCAACACTGAAAAACTAAGCTTATTTTATATCAAAAACACTTACTGATGAAAAAATAGAGGATATAGATTGCATAGCATGTATAATCTGTCTAGTATAAGCACCAGAATTTTTAGTACTTGGTTATAGCATGGTTTTTCTTTGACTCCTGACAAGTGCAATATAACAAGGAGCTACTGTATTTCCAGTAAACCATGAATACTTAATTAAAAAGTCTTTGGCATCTGTAAATAATCAGTCATGATATTCTTTTATTCATATTATTCTGGATGTTTTCAACTTCCTTCTGTTTGGTTCCTCTTGCTTTTGAACACTTTTAACACTAACAAGCATTACATGTGCTGCCTGTACTTCATTCATGTTCTTGCTGTTAATGACCTTCTCCAGTTTTTTTTTTTTTTGTTTGCTGCTTTTAATAAAACTTGGCCTTTTGCATGTATTTCACTTTCTTCTACTTTTTTCTGGTTTAAACACTCTTTCCGACATTGACGCTCTATCAGGAAGATGATTGAAATTGAAAATCCCCATTCCAAATCAATATTGTCATGAGAGAGGATCAATGCTGACTGATTTCACTAATTTGGCTACACTAGGATATCTATCATGATCAGAAACTGTTTATTTTTTTACTTTTTAACTGCTTTGAAATATGTAAATATTGAATTCAAAATAAATTAATAAATCTGAAATAAACAGATTTCAAATAGTATAAGTAAAATAATATTTTATTAATGATTTCATAAATAACAAGGAACTTTTTCCTGCAAATGAATAAATAGCAACATCATTACAACATTGTTAACTTTGGGAAGAGTGTGAAAATTTTTCCAGTAAGCAATCATGTGTTGTACTTTTTACAACACTTTGAATCTTTTAATTTATTAGGTAAATTTTGTGTGTAAATATGAATTTACATTTTCGTTTACTTTTTTAGTCTCAATTAATGCAAACTTATAATCAGCATAAGAGAAGAGATTAAAAAATGGATATTTCACAAATAAAAAAATCACACATTTTATGAAAATAATACTTACTACATGGAATAATTATAAAAGGTCTTTCAACAAGAAGCATCATTTTAAATCAACAGAAAAATGCAATATTTTTGTGAAAAGTGGTGATATTTTTATTTTAATCCAAAGTACAAACTCTGAGGTTTGTAATGAACACAATATCTGCCAAATGTCTGCCTTGGCTCATTTTACAAACAGTCATTCTTTTGATGAAATTTTTCATCACATTTTCACATAATAGCAGCTGTACTTCACCAACAGCAGCTGTATTATTGTCTTTGAGTGCTTGAATCATTGCTGGAGCATTGGTGTAGACTTTATCTTTAATGTAGCCCCGAAGAAAAAAGTCTAATGGTGTAAAATTGTATGATCTCGGTGGCCAATTGAAGTCACCATTTCAAGAAATCACACATCCAGGAAATTTTTCACACAATAGAGCTATTTTTTCACAAGCTGTGTGGCAGGTGGCGCTGTCCTGCTGAAAATAAACATCGTCTGCATCCATAGCATCAATTTTAGGCCAAAAAAAAAAGTCAGTCAACATCATTCAATAACACAATCCATTCATTGTAACTGTCAAACTAGCAGCATTTTCAAAAAAGTATGGCCCAATTACACTGACAGCCCAAAAACTGCACCAAACTATCATGTGCTGTGGTTAGCAAAAAAGTGAGTACAATTGAGAAAAGTGAGTGATTCCAAGGCCTGTTAATAATAGAGTCATGCTGGTCATCCATCTAACTCCTTTCAGAGAAAAATTTTTGAACTGAAATAACCAGACTTCTGGTTTCTATCGGAAATTTGTATATAGTTAATCGGGGGCCTCTTGCTCCTAATCTTTCCATATCTGTGCTTGGCTTTCATCTAACTCCATTCTCAAGTTTAAGAAACGACGGAGGACATCAGTGGGAATTTATAAGTATACAATTTTTTCAAATTGCAGCCCAGTAATTTTTAATGAAATTTGAAATATTCCAGACTCACCGGTANCTATGTAATTCAAAGGTAATTTTTAATACATATTTTACACAGCATTAGTAATATTATTATTTTGGAGGTTGCAGGATGTATTAAATTACTTAAAAAATTTAAAATAATTACATCATTTGATTTCAAGATTTATTTTATATCTTAAAAATAATTAATTATATCCCAGAATTCTGGGGAAACAGATTGCTTGTCTTGGGATTTTGAGAAAATGGTAAAGGATCAGGAAATGAGAAACCCTAATTTCTATAGTCTTGTAAGAATAGCAGTTATAAAAAATAGTTGTAGATTATTTGTAATAACTCAAATATGGTCTTGTAAAAATAATAGTAATCAAGAAATAATTAAAAATTATCCTGCAATAATCTGTATGCAGAGAATTACTTAATGTTACAATAATAATTTTATTTAATCTTCAGATAATATGATGATGAATAACAAGCATAAAAACTCCAAACAAAATTACTGTTTGGTTAGTGTAATTAACTGAATGCTATCTATTTTGTACAGTTGTAAATAAAAATTGACAAACACGAATATGCAGACATGCAATTTGTATGTATCAATATTGCTTCCAAGATAAATTCTTTCTTAAATTCTTAAATAAGGGGTCATCTTATATTTGAGCGAACACAACTTTAATTTGTTGTTTTCCAGTCTGGTAACAATTTTGATTTTGCAAAACATGAAATTAACAGAAAGCTACTGCCTTCTTACCTTTGCTACTTCATTAAATAATTTCAAGAAAGCCAACAGTAGTGAATATTGTCCCGTAACACATTCTACAGCAACAATCAGTTGTCCCAAAATATTGTTGTTCATATATAGACCACTATAATAATTTAAACTCATAATATTAAATCCATGGAAGACATGTTAAAGCTAAATCCTTAACATTATTTACCTTGCCAGTTTAGGAATGTTTTGCGATGTTTCAACCATGTAGGGTAAGAAATTAATAGATAAACATCTCTGCAAAGTTTCTTCTGGGTTGCTCTTTGCTAAATTTCTTATTATATTTAAACATCTTGTCAGCAAATCAATTGAAGGATTAGGTAATACAGAATATCTGAAATGTATGTTTTATAAAACAAATTTGTTATAGTTCAACAAAGATTGACTTAAGATTAATTTGTAATTACCTTAATAAAACGACATAAAATTCATTGGTAATGTGAACTAATTGAAATCGAGAAGAGGGATCAGATTCTAAGATAGAAAAAGTGAGCTCTGCAATATCCACAATACGTTGTATCGATTGTTGCATGACATAGCCTATATTTCAACAGACAATCAACTTTAAAATTTCTTGAAATAATTCTTATAATGAAAATTAAACTTTTCTTTACCTGCTCCGAGAGATACTTCTTGTAGCTTTGTATGTATTTCGCATAAGCAGATCTGCCAACCATTTATGGTAGTCATCCATCGAACAACTGNGCATACATTGAGAAACTGTAATGGGCAAAGTAAAACTTGGACAATTTTCCAATGCTTTAATATACATTACAATGTTCTCATATAATAATTAGCATATGATAAAATTTCCAGGAAGATGATTGTAAATTGACAAAAAATATAAAAGACTACACAATAAAAAAGTCTTCTTGTGTCCTTTCTCATACCTCAGGAAATAACAGTATTGTCGCAGAGTCAATCTTTATTGGGCTGCAATTTGAAAAATATGTAGATCTATAAATTTCCACTGTCATCCATCCATCTTTCCTTAATCTCGACAATGAAGTTAGATAGATGAAAGACAAGACTAGATATAGAAACCTTAGAATCAAGAGGCCTCAATTGACTATATATGAACTTCTGATACTTACCAGAAGTCATGTTATTTCAATTCAAAAATTTTCCCCCAAAAAGTGTTAGATAGATGACCAGCACAACTCAATTACTAAAGGAAAAGTACAATGTACAGGGACAAGACACAGCTAATTTGAGGTGGAGAACATATATTTTAAATGAAATAAATTTTAAAAATATGATTAAAAATTGCAGTCCAGTATTGTGACCATAAAATAATTGCTCATTTTTGTCAATTTACAATTATCATCCTGGCAATTTTATCAATGTATATTATACTTTTTTTTGTGCAATCACCAGATAGAAGTTTTATAATATTTTGCATATTGAGGTGGATGAATAACCTCTAAATAAAGGTCAATTCCACTGTAAGACTGTTATTTCCTGAGGTATGAGAAAGACATAAGACTTTTTTATTGTGTAGTCTTTTAGATTTTTTTTGTCAATAAATAATATAATTACAATGGTAGAATTATTTTTGAAAGATCCTGTATATACCAGTCTAACAGAAACAAGTGTAAAATTTTTAAAATTTTGTCAACCTTTAATAATGAGTGTAAAATAATACTTATAAAAATACAATAATACAATATAAAAATAAAAGTAATATGATTAAAACAAAATTTTACAGATTTCTAAATAGAAAAAATTAATATTTTACAATAATATTCATCTCACCTGTACCATATGGTTTCTTATCTTCTAAAAGTATCCAGGATGACGTTCTTGGAACTACTGACTCCATATTATTTTCCAAATATTCTGTGTATCCCGGTAGTTTTTCAAAAAACTGAATAACCTTTTAAATAAAAATAAGTACTTCTTTTAGTCTCCAAAATCAGTTACAGTCAAGTTCAGATTGTAAGGAGTGAAAAAAATAAAAAATAATCATATCACATTTTTATATTTTTAAGCATTTACTTTATAATAATAAATAAATAAATAATTTAATATATATGCTGCCCACTTCAAATTAGTAGTATCTTGCCCCTGTACGTAATACTTTTTCTGTTAACAGGCCTCAGAGTGCCATTTTTTCCCTCTAAAAAAATGAGTTGAAATACAGAAAACATGGGTAAAAAGTGAGTGACAAAACAAAGTGAAAAATTGGAAGGAAAACTCAGCAAAATAGCAGTAAATGTTCTTTTTTTCTTTTTATTCTGATATGGTTAAATATATTTTAAAAATTTCTGTATATACTGTAATACAGTAGCCACTCATTATATCACGGATTCAGATATATAAAGCTTTTTTGGTCCTCCAAATTTTAAAAGCACTCACGTCAATAAATTTTAAGTTACCAATTACCATTGAATTTCTATTTGCAATAAAATTCAGTATATTATTTCCACCATTGTCCTTGAAACTACCACTGAAGATGAAACAATAAATTCATCAAGATCTAAATATGCAAAATAGATGGGCATATCAATTGTCATTTGTTTCCTTTTGACATTAAAAATTGTTTATTTATTGGTGTTAAATACCCTCTCCTCATTTACAAGTTTCTGTGAATTCAAAACTTCACACATTTATGCGAATTGACATATTACTGTCAATTCACATAAATGTGTGAAATTTCAAGTCACCACATAATGTGTAAGGAAAAGATTTCTTTAATTCTGAAGGGAAAGTTTTTATACAGTAGTAACTTTATTTTGCTTTTCAGAGAATTTTTACTCTCTGTAATTTTATAAGTTTTGATGTTTTATTATATGTTCCATATTTATTTTTTAAAATTTTCAATTACAGCATTTATAATTTTTATTGAAAAACATAAATAGCATGAATTTTTAAACAGTGATTTATTGTGAAATATAGTGCTGTATAATAAAATTGTAACTGATATTTTGTTTTTATATCGATAGTATTTGTCTTTACATGTCATTGTTAAAGAAACAATGCTAAATAGGCATTGGTGGTATATGTTTAAGTAAACGTCAATTAATAAGATATAACCAAGAATAAAGTTCAACACTGAAAAACTAAGCTTATTTTATATCAAAAACACTTACTGATGAAAAAATAGAGGATATAGATTGCATAGCATGTATAATCTGTCTAGTATAAGCACCAGAATTTTTAGTACTTGGTTATAGCATGGTTTTTCTTTGACTCCTGACAAGTGCAATATAACAAGGAGCTACTGTATTTCCAGTAAACCATGAATACTTAATTAAAAAGTCTTTGGCATCTGTAAATAATCAGTCATGATATTCTTTTATTCATATTATTCTGGATGTTTTCAACTTCCTTCTGTTTGGTTCCTCTTGCTTTTGAACACTTTTAACACTAACAAGCATTACATGTGCTGCCTGTACTTCATTCATGTTCTTGCTGTTAATGACCTTCTCCAGTTTTTTTTTTTTTTGTTTGCTGCTTTTAATAAAACTTGGCCTTTTGCATGTATTTCACTTTCTTCTACTTTTTTCTGGTTTAAACACTCTTTCCGACATTGACGCTCTATCAGGAAGATGATTGAAATTGAAAATCCCCATTCCAAATCAATATTGTCATGAGAGAGGATCAATGCTGACTGATTTCACTAATTTGGCTACACTAGGATATCTATCATGATCAGAAACTGTTTATTTTTTTACTTTTTAACTGCTTTGAAATATGTAAATATTGAATTCAAAATAAATTAATAAATCTGAAATAAACAGATTTCAAATAGTATAAGTAAAATAATATTTTATTAATGATTTCATAAATAACAAGGAACTTTTTCCTGCAAATGAATAAATAGCAACATCATTACAACATTGTTAACTTTGGGAAGAGTGTGAAAATTTTTCCAGTAAGCAATCATGTGTTGTACTTTTTACAACACTTTGAATCTTTTAATTTATTAGGTAAATTTTGTGTGTAAATATGAATTTACATTTTCGTTTACTTTTTTAGTCTCAATTAATGCAAACTTATAATCAGCATAAGAGAAGAGATTAAAAAATGGATATTTCACAAATAAAAAAATCACACATTTTATGAAAATAATACTTACTACATGGAATAATTATAAAAGGTCTTTCAACAAGAAGCATCATTTTAAATCAACAGAAAAATGCAATATTTTTGTGAAAAGTGGTGATATTTTTATTTTAATCCAAAGTACAAACTCTGAGGTTTGTAATGAACACAATATCTGCCAAATGTCTGCCTTGGCTCATTTTACAAACAGTCATTCTTTTGATGAAATTTTTCATCACATTTTCACATAATAGCAGCTGTACTTCACCAACAGCAGCTGTATTATTGTCTTTGAGTGCTTGAATCATTGCTGGAGCATTGGTGTAGACTTTATCTTTAATGTAGCCCCGAAGAAAAAAGTCTAATGGTGTAAAATTGTATGATCTCGGTGGCCAATTGAAGTCACCATTTCAAGAAATCACACATCCAGGAAATTTTTCACACAATAGAGCTATTTTTTCACAAGCTGTGTGGCAGGTGGCGCTGTCCTGCTGAAAATAAACATCGTCTGCATCCATAGCATCAATTTTAGGCCAAAAAAAAAAGTCAGTCAACATCATTCAATAACACAATCCATTCATTGTAACTGTCAAACTAGCAGCATTTTCAAAAAAGTATGGCCCAATTACACTGACAGCCCAAAAACTGCACCAAACTATCATGTGCTGTGGTTAGCAAAAAAGTGAGTACAATTGAGAAAAGTGAGTGATTCCAAGGCCTGTTAATAATAGAGTCATGCTGGTCATCCATCTAACTCCTTTCAGAGAAAAATTTTTGAACTGAAATAACCAGACTTCTGGTTTCTATCGGAAATTTGTATATAGTTAATCGGGGGCCTCTTGCTCCTAATCTTTCCATATCTGTGCTTGGCTTTCATCTAACTCCATTCTCAAGTTTAAGAAACGACGGAGGACATCAGTGGGAATTTATAAGTATACAATTTTTTCAAATTGCAGCCCAGTAATTTTTAATGAAATTTGAAATATTATTTTTTATATATTTGTGTTAAAATATTTCACACTTTTCTTTAATTTGTATTTTTATTATTATTTATATTATTAAATGTTATTAAAAATCTAATTAAAATTATTATTAATCTTACTGACCTTTCTACTACTGTTTTCTCCAGCTTGACTAAGAGCAGTACACAATTTGATCAACAGATTAAATTCTAAAGGAAACATATCCATTACAGCAGTCATTAAAATTCCAAGCCCACTATCAAGTCCCTAATAAATTACAAACTTTTAATATATATATATAATTCAATCAAATAAACATATTAATAAATATACACTTACTTTTTTCCAAAAATCATCTGCTATGTTTGAATATTTTAACATAGATTCAGCTAACTGGCATAAATGCTGTAAAATATTATCATTGTTTTTATTTTCTACATAAACCCAAATATATTTTCAAATATTGTAAGAAATAATATTTAAATTTATCACAATATATGTACTAATTTTATACTAAATTATATAAATTATATGTACTAAATTTAGGCAACTAAACTGTATTAAATTGTAAGCAACTGCCTGTACATAGAGCATTAGATGTGTGCCAAACTGAGTTTCATTAATTAATGTATTTATTTCAGATTATGAGAGAGATATATCATTTTCTAATGTATTTTAAAGTGTATTTTAGTAACTATCAATTACATAAAATATTCTGTAATTGTTTTTGTATTATAAATATTACTAGCTCTCAACTGTAAATAAAATTTATATAGATTGATTATGTGTAATCATTCTTACATCTCTATGTATATACTATACATCCATATGGCTGCATGTATATATCTAATACAGTAGAGCATCGATTATCTGACCCACGATTAACCGTCACATCGTTTAACCGACCGTTCTAGTCCCTAGTCCGCAAATTTCAAATGTCCGCTAGTGATGTGGCACTACAATATTTGGCTATGTCTTGGCTACTTTAATATTATTTTTGGTGTTTTAGCTGGCAATACTGGCTCGACAATTGAAGGGAGGCCAGTACTGTATTTAAACGAGACTTAATTTTCTAATTATGAGTGGTTGTTTGTTTTGTGAGCAATAAAATAATTTTAAAATAATTTTTAATGATACAATAGTGACGATTATTATTTTTTTAAAGAATTTGTTAGGCTTAACATTGATGAAAATTCAACTCAAAGTTGGTTAATAGCGATATACTAATATACTATACTAATAATGTATTTTTTTCATTCTTTTCGATTATCCGATTTTTCAGTTATCCGACCAACCTGAGTCCCCAATTGAGTCAGATAATCGATGCTCTACTGTATATCTTTAATATAAACCTATTATTAATCATGAAATTCATAAAACTACATCATATTAAAATATTAGTCAATGTTTACAGATAAAAACCAATTTACAGGATCTATTATGTCATATGTGCATTAAATTTCAATAATATTATTACATATAAAACTAAACAAGATATATGTTAACAATCAAATAATACAACCAGATTCTTATTACATTATTTTAATAATTTAGCCACATTATATATGGTCTGATAACAGAATCTATTTGTATTGCTTGATTAAAAACTTTAAAATAACTTTTGAAGAAGATATACCTGAATTTTTCCTAATGTGTTAATTTCAAAATGAGATAATAATCCAGAAAGCAAAGTATATATGATGCTGTGGGCAAGATTAGATATCACCTGGAATACAATAATTGAAAACATTAATATACTGATGTATAAATTAATCATCAAAAAATATAATAAACATAGATTCACACACAAAAAAGTAGCTCTGGTCCATATTTTTGCAGAAACATAGAATAATACAGCAATAAACAGAAGCCAACCATTGGCATCACCATCATAGAAGATATTGAAAGTGGTCACCTGTCGCATCCATATACTGTAAGTTTTGCATGTAAAATTATGTTTAGAACACCCAGCATAACATGACATTAACAGTACTGGCTGTTGTTATCCATCAGTTTCTGTATTGTGTGCAGATTTGCACAATACAAGACACCAATGTTCATCCAACACAACGTTCCACTGAAATGATGTAGTTCACTTGCTCCAAGTGACAATAGCAAATCAACCAGAGCTACTGTTTTGGCACCAACCTACATTTTAAATGATATTTTTTAAATTTCTATTAAAGATCAACAGTCATAAATATATTTTCAGTGTGTCATTAAGTAAACTGCTCTCAAATGCAATTTCCAGTTATGCACATTATTGTATGCAATAGTCAAATTTGTAATAAAAGCTTATTTTTGCCAAAAACTCTATTAGAGTTATCTTGTAACTGGCATATGAAACAGAAAATTCTTAGCACAACCTACAAGATAACTCTAACAACTCAGATAAAATCTGACATAATTAACCATTATAATAATGATATATCTGACATAGATTGAACAGACCAAATGTTCAGTCACAAAAAAGTCCAAAATTTAGAGGGAAAAAATGCTGAATATTTGACAGGTGATAAAATGACAAGTTCTACAAAGAAAATTAGGGTTGAAGATAAATTTCATTAATAGAAAGGTAAATCGTCAACTGAAAAATAATTGTATGCAACCAAGCTTTGACAAGTATATGCAAAAGATTAAAAAATACTGTGAAATACATTGTATCCTGTGTAAGAGTATTTTAATAAGATATTACCAATAAACACTATTATTATTACTTTGTATTATTTTTCTATGAATAAATATTCTGTTCTCTGGCACTGCACCTTATCTGATGCCAACTACATATTATTTATACATATTTGCTACAGATACACTTGTTTCTGTTACTAGAAACAAGATCATATTTTATAAGGTAACTTGTAAATGACATGATGCAACAAATTGGTAATTACAAATTAACTAGTGTTTGGAAATCAACATTTTAACAGAAATAAAAGTCAACAGTCTGTCCTCTAATAGATGTTGAATTATAGATGCACCACTTCTGGTCTAGCAAACAATTCCAAAGTTGAATGATATCTGACCTTTGACATTTAATGCTAGCACCAGACTGTACCAAGCTAGCTACTGGCCAGTTTGACTATAAATTGAACAATGTTTTTATCAACTCTAATAATGGCTAATAACCTTGAAACACCATGCTGCCATTAGGCTATAAATCAGCCTTAACACATTTATATGCACATTTGCTTAAACAGATATGTTAAGGTTAACACATTGATGCAAAATGTTAAGCAGAACGCTTCATTTTTTATTTCATTTAATTCTTAAATTCAAAATAGAATCACTGAATTCTTTAAATTTTATATGGCAAGTAACAGTATAATTCAAATTTTTATAAATTATATTTTCTGTTTCCTTTAAACCTTGTTCCTTTTGTTCACTCTTGTAGCTTTATTGTAATGTATCAGGTCTTGTAAAAATGTTTATATTTGTAAATATTAATAGAGTTATTAACTACATCTATAGATTAATTCTATTAATGTACAGGTATCTGCTGCTTAATGTCATGTTTTGCAGAAAAAAGAAATGCTTTCGTTGAGAGGTCGCTTTTCAAGATGGCTGACTTAAGTAACGAGAAGGTGGTGATTGTGACTGTTTTGCTAAATAATTAAAGTAACTCGCTTAACCATTATTCAAATAAATCCTTTTATTCAAATGAACCCATATCTGCATCATTTTCTTGTATAATGGGTCTTCCTTTAATAATTTTAATTAATTTCTTGAATATTTATATCATTAGGAAGACTTAGAAGGCCAAATATTGGTCATAATCAATTTTGGACAAATGAAAAAATCTTAATACTTCAATATTGACCAAATTATCCAACATAATCGTGCAATCACATGTTTTATCATATACAAATCATTCATTAATCTGTCCACTATTTCAACATCCACAGCAGCAAATGGATAGTTTCTATAAGCAAAATTTACTTTTTTCATGGAAGCTGCCATGTTAGTTTTTTGAATACCCAACGGTCTTTCAGGTCATTGAGACTGTTGAGCTCAATGGTGAAACAGCGCTGACGTCATTAGTCTCAACAGAGAACTCAATGGTCCATTTAGAAATGTTGCTCTCTCACCGTTGAGTCAACCATTGAATATAGAAATGTACAGTATGTATTATCTCTACTACTCATATACGCTGTGTAACACAACTATAAGTATTTACATATAAATTTAATAAAAATAAATTCATTTAAGTTTAAAGGTTTTTCAATTTTTAAATACATTTAAACCTAGAATCACACTGAAAGAATCAAATAAATATACAAAATATAAGTTATTTGTGCTACTTAATTACACATTATTGTAACTTTCAACATTGGGTACATTCCAGTATGCATCAGTCTCAGCTACAACCAATGCACTGGTGAACAGTTTAATAAGCTTTTAACACAACCTAACAAGATGGTAGAAGCAGACAATACTATATTATCATTTACAGATATTATCAAAACAATTTTGGATTAATACAGATTAAAATTAAAAATGGTGTTAATACTATAATCTTGGAAGCACCATATTGCTTCATCAGAACTCATTGTATCCATAGTCTGATGAGTGCAATGTACATTGCACTCATCAGACTATGGATACAATGCACTAACACCGCACTAACTCATCCGTTAATATCAGAACATATTTTAGTACGTCACAATACACCAATGTGCTGTTTGATGCATACTGGAATGTTTCCATTGAGTGTGCTATTTTTTTGTTTGTAGAACAATATACAAAAGAAGTCAAGTCTAAAGATAAACAGCAAGTCTGTCATATTAATATTAATAATTATATTAATTTTTGCTACATTACACCACTGATGAATTAAATTAAATTACAGTAGAACCTCCATTATCCGGACCTCTATTATCTGGATTTTCGATTATCCGGATTGTTCAAAATNGGGACCTAATTCTTGCATTCTGTAAAAACGGGTAAGATTGGCTATAATGTAATTATCTTAATCTTCACTATCGTTACTTTTTGCCCACAAATAAAAACCCAGCGAAGCGGGTCCTTGCCGCTAGTATATATATATATATATATATATATTTCTGTTCAATGTTCATTTGTTATCCAATTTAGGAGTTCTTTAGTATTAGATTCTTTTGCCTAATATAGTAGTCATATTATGTTGTGCATATAGAGACAAACCAAATGAGCACTATACCAGATGGTGCAATATATCTGATGTATCTATCGTTTAAATACTGGGTCCCTTTCATGGTTGATCCAGTGTTGCCAGCTAAAACACATAAAAATAATATTAAAGTAGCCAAGACATAGCAAATATTGTAGCGCCACATCAATAGCGGACATTTGAAATTTGCCGACTAGGACGGTCGGTTGATAGGGGGTCGGATAATTGAGGCTCTACTGTATCTGAATGAGCGATGTAGTGAGAGCTACTGTATTTATCAGAAATGTTAATAATCATAAGTTCAATTCTATTCATTCATAAAGATGCAGAAAGAAAATATATTAAATATGGTTGTTAATAAAATATTTGAGAGTTTACAGATTTTGTAAAAGCCTGAAAAGGATACTTATAATGTGAAAGATTCAAGCATATCAAAATTTATCTACATCATTTTAACTTCCATTCATAATTAAGTACAAAAGATTTTCAAGTATTAAATAACTTACCAATATTTGGAATATTTGTTAACATGATTCCTTCTGTTTGTGAAGGAATAATAAAGGCATCTGAAAAGTAAAGTATTATTAAATTTCATAAAAGATAATAATTCTGATTTTTTTAAAGTAAATACTAATACAAATCTAAAGTTTTCCTAAATACATATTCATTATTTACACATTCATACATTCACATTCCTTCACTCAATTTAACACTAAACTAAAACTCAGCAATCTTATCAAATCGATCATCAATTTGTATTGTGGCAAACCTTACAAGAAAGTGTAATACACCAAAAAGTCATTGAGATCAGTGGACTCCAATCCTATGGATCATACATCTATTAGAGAATTTTCTTTGTTAAATAAATTTGTGACCCAATTTTAAAAACTCAAGTTTTTCAAATAAGCTGTTACAACTGAATTTTATGTTCTTGTGTTTTTTCAACATTGTGTAACATAGTAAAATCATGGAACCAGAAGAAATTTGTCGTTACATCTAATGTTGCTAAAACTGAGTTCAAAACTGTATTATTTAAAATACTTTAAAACATAAAAAATTCAACCTCCTAATTGGATTTTTAAAAATATATTTTACTGTATAACTAAATTATATAGTAAAATATAGATGAAAAGATTTAGTTATATGGGGTCTTCCAAAATGAACATTATCATTTTAAATTGCTGTAATTAAGTTAATTATTATCTGAAAAGTATGCAACATATACCAATTCATAGAATAACTTTCTTTCTTTTCTCTGTAAAATTTACAAGTTTGAGAATTTTATTACAGCACTTCTAACATCAAAAGGTTTCAATGACAATGGCTTTATTTGTTTAATTTCTTGTTATAGTGCATTTCAGAATGATGTATATTTTCATATCCTCTTTAGTGCAAGTGCTGTATTGAAATTCTCAAACATATCTGTAAAGTTTACAGAGAAAAGGAAGATAGAATTTCAGCACCCCTTATCCACTATCTAAATTTCTTCACCCATCTGCATGCAAATAGATTGTGTAGTACTTCTAGGAAGTGCCATAAATGAAAATGTCAACTCCGTAATACAGAAAACATTTGGTGTTTTGCAGTTTGCAGAAACAGAATCACTCATCATTATACAACATGAATAATCTTTAAGAGCTGCAGAATAGTAGCTCTGTGAGAGAAATGGCAATGGATATGCCATAGCAAATACAGAAAGAATTTAAGTATCAATTGGATGCTGATGATATGTGCCATTTGACATACAGTGCATACATTGAGAAACTGTAATGGGCAAAGTAAAACTTGGACAATTTTCCAATGCTTTAATATACATTACAATGTTCTCATATAATAATTAGCATATGATAAAATTTCCAGGAAGATGATTGTAAATTGACAAAAAATATAAAAGACTACACAATAAAAAAGTCTTCTTGTGTCCTTTCTCATACCTCAGGAAATAACAGTATTGTCGCAGAGTCAATCTTTATTGGGCTGCAATTTGAAAAATATGTAGATCTATAAATTTCCACTGTCATCCATCCATCTTTCCTTAATCTCGACAATGAAGTTAGATAGATGAAAGACAAGACTAGATATAGAAACCTTAGAATCAAGAGGCCTCAATTGACTATATATGAACTTCTGATACTTACCAGAAGTCATGTTATTTCAATTCAAAAATTTTCCCCCAAAAAGTGTTAGATAGATGACCAGCACAACTCAATTACTAAAGGAAAAGTACAATGTACAGGGACAAGACACAGCTAATTTGAGGTGGAGAACATATATTTTAAATGAAATAAATTTTAAAAATATGATTAAAAATTGCAGTCCAGTATTGTGACCATAAAATAATTGCTCATTTTTGTCAATTTACAATTATCATCCTGGCAATTTTATCAATGTATATTATACTTTTTTTTGTGCAATCACCAGATAGAAGTTTTATAATATTTTGCATATTGAGGTGGATGAATAACCTCTAAATAAAGGTCAATTCCACTGTAAGACTGTTATTTCCTGAGGTATGAGAAAGACATAAGACTTTTTTATTGTGTAGTCTTTTAGATTTTTTTTGTCAATAAATAATATAATTACAATGGTAGAATTATTTTTGAAAGATCCTGTATATACCAGTCTAACAGAAACAAGTGTAAAATTTTTAAAATTTTGTCAACCTTTAATAATGAGTGTAAAATAATACTTATAAAAATACAATAATACAATATAAAAATAAAAGTAATATGATTAAAACAAAATTTTACAGATTTCTAAATAGAAAAAATTAATATTTTACAATAATATTCATCTCACCTGTACCATATGGTTTCTTATCTTCTAAAAGTATCCAGGATGACGTTCTTGGAACTACTGACTCCATATTATTTTCCAAATATTCTGTGTATCCCGGTAGTTTTTCAAAAAACTGAATAACCTTTTAAATAAAAATAAGTACTTCTTTTAGTCTCCAAAATCAGTTACAGTCAAGTTCAGATTGTAAGGAGTGAAAAAAATAAAAAATAATCATATCACATTTTTATATTTTTAAGCATTTACTTTATAATAATAAATAAATAAATAATTTAATATATATGCTGCCCACTTCAAATTAGTAGTATCTTGCCCCTGTACGTAATACTTTTTCTGTTAACAGGCCTCAGAGTGCCATTTTTTCCCTCTAAAAAAATGAGTTGAAATACAGAAAACATGGGTAAAAAGTGAGTGACAAAACAAAGTGAAAAATTGGAAGGAAAACTCAGCAAAATAGCAGTAAATGTTCTTTTTTTCTTTTTATTCTGATATGGTTAAATATATTTTAAAAATTTCTGTATATACTGTAATACAGTAGCCACTCATTATATCACGGATTCAGATATATAAAGCTTTTTTGGTCCTCCAAATTTTAAAAGCACTCACGTCAATAAATTTTAAGTTACCAATTACCATTGAATTTCTATTTGCAATAAAATTCAGTATATTATTTCCACCATTGTCCTTGAAACTACCACTGAAGATGAAACAATAAATTCATCAAGATCTAAATATGCAAAATAGATGGGCATATCAATTGTCATTTGTTTCCTTTTGACATTAAAAATTGTTTATTTATTGGTGTTAAATACCCTCTCCTCATTTACAAGTTTCTGTGAATTCAAAACTTCACACATTTATGCGAATTGACATATTACTGTCAATTCACATAAATGTGTGAAATTTCAAGTCACCACATAATGTGTAAGGAAAAGATTTCTTTAATTCTGAAGGGAAAGTTTTTATACAGTAGTAACTTTATTTTGCTTTTCAGAGAATTTTTACTCTCTGTAATTTTATAAGTTTTGATGTTTTATTATATGTTCCATATTTATTTTTTAAAATTTTCAATTACAGCATTTATAATTTTTATTGAAAAACATAAATAGCATGAATTTTTAAACAGTGATTTATTGTGAAATATAGTGCTGTATAATAAAATTGTAACTGATATTTTGTTTTTATATCGATAGTATTTGTCTTTACATGTCATTGTTAAAGAAACAATGCTAAATAGGCATTGGTGGTATATGTTTAAGTAAACGTCAATTAATAAGATATAACCAAGAATAAAGTTCAACACTGAAAAACTAAGCTTATTTTATATCAAAAACACTTACTGATGAAAAAATAGAGGATATAGATTGCATAGCATGTATAATCTGTCTAGTATAAGCACCAGAATTTTTAGTACTTGGTTATAGCATGGTTTTTCTTTGACTCCTGACAAGTGCAATATAACAAGGAGCTACTGTATTTCCAGTAAACCATGAATACTTAATTAAAAAGTCTTTGGCATCTGTAAATAATCAGTCATGATATTCTTTTATTCATATTATTCTGGATGTTTTCAACTTCCTTCTGTTTGGTTCCTCTTGCTTTTGAACACTTTTAACACTAACAAGCATTACATGTGCTGCCTGTACTTCATTCATGTTCTTGCTGTTAATGACCTTCTCCAGTTTTTTTTTTTTTTGTTTGCTGCTTTTAATAAAACTTGGCCTTTTGCATGTATTTCACTTTCTTCTACTTTTTTCTGGTTTAAACACTCTTTCCGACATTGACGCTCTATCAGGAAGATGATTGAAATTGAAAATCCCCATTCCAAATCAATATTGTCATGAGAGAGGATCAATGCTGACTGATTTCACTAATTTGGCTACACTAGGATATCTATCATGATCAGAAACTGTTTATTTTTTTACTTTTTAACTGCTTTGAAATATGTAAATATTGAATTCAAAATAAATTAATAAATCTGAAATAAACAGATTTCAAATAGTATAAGTAAAATAATATTTTATTAATGATTTCATAAATAACAAGGAACTTTTTCCTGCAAATGAATAAATAGCAACATCATTACAACATTGTTAACTTTGGGAAGAGTGTGAAAATTTTTCCAGTAAGCAATCATGTGTTGTACTTTTTACAACACTTTGAATCTTTTAATTTATTAGGTAAATTTTGTGTGTAAATATGAATTTACATTTTCGTTTACTTTTTTAGTCTCAATTAATGCAAACTTATAATCAGCATAAGAGAAGAGATTAAAAAATGGATATTTCACAAATAAAAAAAATCACACATTTTATGAAAATAATACTTACTACATGGAATAATTATAAAAGGTCTTTCAACAAGAAGCATCATTTTAAATCAACAGAAAAATGCAATATTTTTGTGAAAAGTGGTGATATTTTTATTTTAATCCAAAGTACAAACTCTGAGGTTTGTAATGAACACAATATCTGCCAAATGTCTGCCTTGGCTCATTTTACAAACAGTCATTCTTTTGATGAAATTTTTCATCACATTTTCACATAATAGCAGCTGTACTTCACCAACAGCAGCTGTATTATTGTCTTTGAGTGCTTGAATCATTGCTGGAGCATTGGTGTAGACTTTATCTTTAATGTAGCCCCGAAGAAAAAAGTCTAATGGTGTAAAATTGTATGATCTCGGTGGCCAATTGAAGTCACCATTTCAAGAAATCACACATCCAGGAAATTTTTCACACAATAGAGCTATTTTTTCACAAGCTGTGTGGCAGGTGGCGCTGTCCTGCTGAAAATAAACATCGTCTGCATCCATAGCATCAATTTTAGGCCAAAAAAAAAAGTCAGTCAACATCATTCAATAACACAATCCATTCATTGTAACTGTCAAACTAGCAGCATTTTCAAAAAAGTATGGCCCAATTACACTGACAGCCCAAAAACTGCACCAAACTATCATGTGCTGTGGTTAGCAAAAAAGTGAGTACAATTGAGAAAAGTGAGTGATTCCAAGGCCTGTTAATAATAGAGTCATGCTGGTCATCCATCTAACTCCTTTCAGAGAAAAATTTTTGAACTGAAATAACCAGACTTCTGGTTTCTATCGGAAATTTGTATATAGTTAATCGGGGGCCTCTTGCTCCTAATCTTTCCATATCTGTGCTTGGCTTTCATCTAACTCCATTCTCAAGTTTAAGAAACGACGGAGGACATCAGTGGGAATTTATAAGTATACAATTTTTTCAAATTGCAGCCCAGTAATTTTTAATGAAATTTGAAATATTATTTTTTATATATTTGTGTTAAAATATTTCACACTTTTCTTTAATTTGTATTTTTATTATTATTTATATTATTAAATGTTATTAAAAATCTAATTAAAATTATTATTAATCTTACTGACCTTTCTACTACTGTTTTCTCCAGCTTGACTAAGAGCAGTACACAATTTGATCAACAGATTAAATTCTAAAGGAAACATATCCATTACAGCAGTCATTAAAATTCCAAGCCCACTATCAAGTCCCTAATAAATTACAAACTTTTAATATATATATATAATTCAATCAAATAAACATATTAATAAATATACACTTACTTTTTTCCAAAAATCATCTGCTATGTTTGAATATTTTAACATAGATTCAGCTAACTGGCATAAATGCTGTAAAATATTATCATTGTTTTTATTTTCTACATAAACCCAAATATATTTTCAAATATTGTAAGAAATAATATTTAAATTTATCACAATATATGTACTAATTTTATACTAAATTATATAAATTATATGTACTAAATTTAGGCAACTAAACTGTATTAAATTGTAAGCAACTGCCTGTACATAGAGCATTAGATGTGTGCCAAACTGAGTTTCATTAATTAATGTATTTATTTCAGATTATGAGAGAGATATATCATTTTCTAATGTATTTTAAAGTGTATTTTAGTAACTATCAATTACATAAAATATTCTGTAATTGTTTTTGTATTATAAATATTACTAGCTCTCAACTGTAAATAAAATTTATATAGATTGATTATGTGTAATCATTCTTACATCTCTATGTATATACTATACATCCATATGGCTGCATGTATATATCTAATACAGTAGAGCATCGATTATCTGACCCACGATTAACCGTCACATCGTTTAACCGACCGTTCTAGTCCCTAGTCCGCAAATTTCAAATGTCCGCTAGTGATGTGGCACTACAATATTTGGCTATGTCTTGGCTACTTTAATATTATTTTTGTTAAATTTTTGCATGTTTTAGCTGGCAATACTGGCTTGACCATTGAAGGGAGGCCAGTATTTAAACGAGACTTAATTTTCTAATTATGAATGGTTGTTTGTTTTGTGATCAATAAAATAATTTAAAAATAATTTTTAATGATACAATAGTGACGATTATTATTTTTTTAAAGAATTTGTTAGGCTTAACATTGATGAAAATTCAACTCAAAGTTGGTTAATAGCGATATACTAATATACTATACTAATAATGTATTTTTTTCATTCTTTTCGATTATCCGATTTTTCAGTTATCCGACCAACCTGAGTCCCCAATTGAGTCAGATAATCGATGCTCTACTGTATATCTTTAATATAAACCTATTATTAATCATGAAATTCATAAAACTACATCATATTAAAATATTAGTCAATGTTTACAGATAAAAACCAATTTACAGGATCTATTATGTCATATGTGCATTAAATTTCAATAATATTATTACATATAAAACTAAACAAGATATATGTTAACAATCAAATAATACAACCAGATTCTTATTACATTATTTTAATAATTTAGCCACATTATATATGGTCTGATAACAGAATCTATTTGTATTGCTTGATTAAAAACTTTAAAATAACTTTTGAAGAAGATATACCTGAATTTTTCCTAATGTGTTAATTTCAAAATGAGATAATAATCCAGAAAGCAAAGTATATATGATGCTGTGGGCAAGATTAGATATCACCTGGAATACAATAATTGAAAACATTAATATACTGATGTATAAATTAATCATCAAAAAATATAATAAACATAGATTCACACACAAAAAAGTAGCTCTGGTCCATATTTTTGCAGAAACATAGAATAATACAGCAATAAACAGAAGCCAACCATTGGCATCACCATCATAGAAGATATTGAAAGTGGTCACCTGTCGCATCCATATACTGTAAGTTTTGCATGTAAAATTATGTTTAGAACACCCAGCATAACATGACATTAACAGTACTGGCTGTTGTTATCCATCAGTTTCTGTATTGTGTGCAGATTTGCACAATACAAGACACCAATGTTCATCCAACACAACGTTCCACTGAAATGATGTAGTTCACTTGCTCCAAGTGACAATAGCAAATCAACCAGAGCTACTGTTTTGGCACCAACCTACATTTTAAATGATATTTTTTAAATTTCTATTAAAGATCAACAGTCATAAATATATTTTCAGTGTGTCATTAAGTAAACTGCTCTCAAATGCAATTTCCAGTTATGCACATTATTGTATGCAATAGTCAAATTTGTAATAAAAGCTTATTTTTGCCAAAAACTCTATTAGAGTTATCTTGTAACTGGCATATGAAACAGAAAATTCTTAGCACAACCTACAAGATAACTCTAACAACTCAGATAAAATCTGACATAATTAACCATTATAATAATGATATATCTGACATAGATTGAACAGACCAAATGTTCAGTCACAAAAAAGTCCAAAATTTAGAGGGAAAAAATGCTGAATATTTGACAGGTGATAAAATGACAAGTTCTACAAAGAAAATTAGGGTTGAAGATAAATTTCATTAATAGAAAGGTAAATCGTCAACTGAAAAATAATTGTATGCAACCAAGCTTTGACAAGTATATGCAAAAGATTAAAAAATACTGTGAAATACATTGTATCCTGTGTAAGAGTATTTTAATAAGATATTACCAATAAACACTATTATTATTACTTTGTATTATTTTTCTATGAATAAATATTCTGTTCTCTGGCACTGCACCTTATCTGATGCCAACTACATATTATTTATACATATTTGCTACAGATACACTTGTTTCTGTTACTAGAAACAAGATCATATTTTATAAGGTAACTTGTAAATGACATGATGCAACAAATTGGTAATTACAAATTAACTAGTGTTTGGAAATCAACATTTTAACAGAAATAAAAGTCAACAGTCTGTCCTCTAATAGATGTTGAATTATAGATGCACCACTTCTGGTCTAGCAAACAATTCCAAAGTTGAATGATATCTGACCTTTGACATTTAATGCTAGCACCAGACTGTACCAAGCTAGCTACTGGCCAGTTTGACTATAAATTGAACAATGTTTTTATCAACTCTAATAATGGCTAATAACCTTGAAACACCATGCTGCCATTAGGCTATAAATCAGCCTTAACACATTTATATGCACATTTGCTTAAACAGATATGTTAAGGTTAACACATTGATGCAAAATGTTAAGCAGAACGCTTCATTTTTTATTTCATTTAATTCTTAAATTCAAAATAGAATCACTGAATTCTTTAAATTTTATATGGCAAGTAACAGTATAATTCAAATTTTTATAAATTATATTTTCTGTTTCCTTTAAACCTTGTTCCTTTTGTTCACTCTTGTAGCTTTATTGTAATGTATCAGGTCTTGTAAAAATGTTTATATTTGTAAATATTAATAGAGTTATTAACTACATCTATAGATTAATTCTATTAATGTACAGGTATCTGCTGCTTAATGTCATGTTTTGCAGAAAAAAGAAATGCTTTCGTTGAGAGGTCGCTTTTCAAGATGGCTGACTTAAGTAACGAGAAGGTGGTGATTGTGACTGTTTTGCTAAATAATTAAAGTAACTCGCTTAACCATTATTCAAATAAATCCTTTTATTCAAATGAACCCATATCTGCATCATTTTCTTGTATAATGGGTCTTCCTTTAATAATTTTAATTAATTTCTTGAATATTTATATCATTAGGAAGACTTAGAAGGCCAAATATTGGTCATAATCAATTTTGGACAAATGAAAAAATCTTAATACTTCAATATTGACCAAATTATCCAACATAATCGTGCAATCACATGTTTTATCATATACAGATTGTTCATTAATCTGTTCGCTATTACAGCATCCACAGCAGCGAATGGATAGTTTCTATAAGCGAAATTTACTTTTTCGTGGAAGCCGCCATGTTAGTTTGTTGACTACTCAACGGTCTTTCAGGTCGTTGAGACCGTTGAGCTCAACGGTGAAACAGCGCTGACGTCACTAGTCTCAACGGAGAACTCAACGGTCCATTTAGAAACGTTGTTCTCTCACCGTTGAGTCAACTGTTGAATATAGAAACGTACGGA